TTTCAGTAATGCCTGAATGTTCTGTTCTTTGCTGGGCCAAGACTTATTAACAAAGATGGTGTCTCAAGGTGTTTCTAGCTCATCTGACAGCCCTGTGATTACCATAATGGCTCCCTCTCCCAGAAATGCTGACAATGACTTTATCCTTACTGACCTTCCTATTAAATTCCAAGTGTGGGCCAGTCACATGTTTTGAAGGGTTGTTACTTCTATACCTGTAGTGATTAAGCTAAAAGATTCTAATCGCTTCCCATACTGTAAGTAGCATTTTCTTTGGCTGGAAGCCTGAGCTACAACCCTTAATAAGTAAGTTCCTTCACTACGGACTTGTAGTGCTTTGTCAGTCACTTTGTAATACCCCAATTTTTAGCTGTCAAGAAGCCCAGTGGAGATATGCATGATCTCCATACTGCAAACAAGATAGTTACTATATTCCTATACACCCAGTAATCCGTAGCCTCTATATTCTGCTTGACCAGACTCCTTCAAATACTCAATGGGTCACAGTCCTAGACCTTAAAGATTTGTTGTTTTGCATTCCAATAATTCCTGAGTCCCAATTCCTTTTTTGCCTTTCAGTGGACTTATGAACTGAGTTGGAGCAAACAGTTTTCCTAGATGATCCTTCCCCAAGAATTCAGGGAGAGTTCCCATGGGCCTTGACACACTTTAGCCAGGGATTTAAGTGACCTAACCATAACAAATGGCGGTACCCTATAATGTGTAAATGATCTTTTCTGTTTCCCTTCTCTAACACAGGCCTGAGATCATTTGATTCAGACTTTAACTTTCCTAACTGGCAGAAGATACTGAGTCTCAAATTCCCAAGGCCCAGTTACTGTCTCAAAGGATACATTATTTAGGGTTTATTTTAACCCCAGGTCATTGAGCTTCTTCAGCAGAGCATACACAGGATATCAAAGCCCGTCTAGCCCCTACCATCAGAAAATAACTTCATAGTTTCTGAGGATTAACAAGTTATGGATTCCTGGGTATGGCCTAATCGCTTAGCTCTTGCACAAGTCTGTAAAGGTTTATGGACTTAAAGTCAAAGATGAGAAAATAATGCTCTATGTGACAGGGAACCAGAAAAAAGTGGGGGTAGCTCACCCATCAGATTGGTTGGAAAGACATAACACTTTTATACAATGGAGAACTACTCAGCTATAAGGAAGAAAAACCTTGAGGCTCTTGTAGGTAAATGGATACAACTTGAGACCAAGTTCAGGGGTAAAAAGGTTCAGAACCACTTAGGTAAATAGTGGGTTGCCTCCCTAATCTAAAATCTAAAGCAGTTGGTGGGATACAAAATGTACAATGACCCTGGGAAAGTGAAAGGGGAGGAACTGTCTAAATAGGAAGGCAGAGGACATTGTTAAACTTGTATCATGATTTGAAACCCATGTTGCTCTCACCACTCTGTTTAGTTTGGTTATATTCTGTTCCAGTTTGTCTACTTGTATTAGATTTGATGGCATAGACAGCTATTCCAAAGACAGCAGGATGTATTATGGTAACCATTTTTTATTTCCTATTAACTTCATTTGAAGCCCTATATTGCTTTCACTGTCTTGCTTTTACTGATTTTATTCTATTCTGTTTTGTTTGATAGTATCAAGTCTGAGGATATAGGCAACTACTTTGAAGACAGTAAGATTCACTATGATACCCATTCTGGTTTGGGTATCAAAAGAAGACTATCATCTTCTTTTGAAGTCCTGTAATGTCTCCAATGTTTCATTTTTATTAGTTTTGTTCTGTACTGTTTTGTTCAATTTTATTATAACTGATGATATAGGCAATTCTTTTAAAGATAGCAAGAGGCATTATGATAACCATTGTTGATCAAGTTGTATTTTGTTTTTACGTCATGTACTATGTCCATTATTTTGTTCTGACTGACTGTCTTTTGTTTTGTCACATTTGGTTTTATTGTTTTCAAAATACAAGATTTTAAAAAAGAAACCCAGTTTTTGTAGAAGGTAATTGTACCAATAGCAGTATTAAGATCTCCTGATGGACCTTAGCCATTTGAAGTGCTACATGGTTCACCTTTCTTATATACGGACTTCTAGAAGCTCAGTCTCTAAGCCATTATGTATCTATACTAAATATTTTCCAACAGGCAATATGAGAATATGGATTACAGCTGTCACAAGCATCCCTAGAACCCCAAAGGTCTATCAACCTGAAACACTTGTCCTCACTAAAATCTACAGGGAGGGTCCGCAAGGTCAGCCGTTAGCTCCTCTTTAGAAAGTCCCTTTCTCTGTACTTCCTCCTTCAACAGTTATCCAATTTCCAGCTGTATGCATCATTCCTAAGTCAAACTTCAAAGGGAAAAACTTCTCCAGGAACACTACCATCCTGAAAAGCCATCCACTGGAAAGCTCAAAATAACTGTTCAGCCATATTTCATCTGAGGAAAGCCCTCACCATCCCTGCCCTATCCACTAACAGAGGCCTGCATGCACCTTGAGTGCTCTTCTAATCAGAGCCTTTATGATAATTACCTTTCTGCTCATTTGTGCTTCTCAGGGACACAGGATCTTACCAGGTGGTGCCTATGTAAGAGCACTTGTAACACTGGTTATAAGGAACTCCATTGCCATCCCTTTTGTTTAACTGCTTCTGATGGTCGTTTTGCCCCTGACCTGCTGTCAGGAGCAGCTGCGCTAACGATCTGTTCACCTGTGCAGAGCTCAGGGCACCCTGAAGACACAGAGCACCCCAGATGAACAGGTGGTCCAGCCCCGAGAATGAGGGAGGAGGTGAGAGGTGAACTAGTGGTTAGGCAAAGGAATTTTACCTGACATCAACTTTCAAACTGTATAAAAGCGTTGCGGTGGTGAGCAGTTCCTCTCCTCCCATCCAGAGGGCTCCACCTCACCTCAGCTTTCTGTACTGTCTCATCTTTATTTCTCTATTCTCTCACTATCCTTTCCCTGGGAACTTTGAAAGCAACACAGGACTTGGCAATCTGCCTTGCAGCACTTAAAACAAGTCTGGGCCATGTCAGATCCCAGTCCAAGCTTTGGGGAAAAGATGGCTTTGGCTTCCTGAATCAACTTGGTGAAAATGGTTCATAACCATTACAGCCTTTGTTTTTACGATCTTTCTATACCGTATAATAAACTGTTTCCTAAACTTCTTTTTCATAGTCAATCCATCTTCAGATGTCCTGCCCTTTTAGTCCAACCAGCTGTATCAGAACCCTTGACCTACTTAATGAGCCTGAAAGTCAGCAAGAGTATAGACTCTAAATCCCTCAGTTTTGTTCTGAACCTTTCTTCAGGTTAGGTAACTATAAGAGAACCTTCTGTCCAGCACACTTGGCCCTTACGATGCACTGATGCACTGCCGGGTGACTTCTCAGTCACCTTTCGATGGAATTCACCCAAGAACAACAAACAAACAACAAAGGGTGACTCCTCTAGAAGAGATCATGAATCACACAGGAAGCCCTCATTGCCTAACATCAGTGGCAAACCTATGGCAAGTGCATTATTGTATTTTTCTTTTAAGACAAAAGATGTTAATGTCTGAGCTGTTTTTTCTAAACTAAAACCTCAGTATTCAGATTTAATTGCAATGTTAGCGCTGTGGGTTTGGGGTTGCAATTTGGTACCCAAAAGTTTCACCATCACTGCCCTAGATGGAATGCCCATTTGACCACCTCTTACCACCTGGCTATGAAGCCTTAGGTACTCTTGAACAAAAAAGCAAGCCTCTAAAACCCTGCACATTCACCTTTTAAAGGAATCTGGGAGAGTAGCGAGAGAGCACTTGTCTAGCATGTGTGAGGTCTTGGGTTTAATCCCCAGTGCCAAAAACAAAAACAAGAGAAAAGAAAACATTCATAAGATCTTTCCAGTTCCACTATTTGGCACACATAGTTTCTTGATGCATATTCAGCCTGCACACAGGATATCCCACTGGGATAAGGGTGAGAGGCTGGCTGCCTGACCCCTATCCTCTCTCCTTATCTCAAGACTGCAGGCTCAGACAGCCAACGCCAACTGTCTTGTAATCCTCTCTACCCCAATGTCCACAATGGTGCCTGCCATCCAGTAGGCATACACTAATATTTTTGGAAATCAACATTTTAAAGATTTTTTAAAAGAGCTATATTTTCGTTTAGAGTGACAATCAATACTGTTTAAAACAGGTGAGTCAAGAAATAGATTGCCAATACACAGGAGCAGGCATCAAAAGAACTAGCTGACCGAGCTAACTTGGCTTCAAGGGCTGGAGCTCTAGTGGGAAGAGGATGACCGCTTAAGTACAATGGCTAGGGCCCTACGTTTTTATTTTTATTGGGGCTTTTTTGTTGCTGTTCCATTTTGTTTTTGTTGTTTTGAGATAGAGCCTCATTCTGTACCCCAAGTCAGCCTTCAGCTCTCCATCCTCCTGCCTCAGCCTCCTAAGTGCTGGCATTGCAAGTGTGTGCACCATGCATGGTTCTCCCAACTTTTTTTTAATAATATGCAATTACTCTGATTTTCCACTTTACACGTTCTACATAATACAATTCCCAACACGCTACTACACCTAAGCATTTTTGTGTCCTTGGTCCATACGTAGACACGTTCGTACTAACAGCTGTTGGCAATTCTATGTATTTATTGCCAACTTTGTTTTTACTTTTTCGTTCTCACAGAGGGTTGCTCCTGCTTCGTCTCCATACCTATCCTGCCAGGGGCTCTGACGCTCTAACATGCTAATGCTCCTCAATGCAGCTCACTACATCAAAGTGGAAAGCTTAGGTATGGTTCTGCTTTTCCCCTGGAAACCGTCCCATGATGAACTGCAAGGACGCGAGCCGGCTGGCTCCCGCTGATGCGCTTAGCTACAACCAGAGACCCGCAGCAGCCCGCGTGGCCTGGGCCGGGGAGACTGAGCGCGCGCACGCTCGCAGGCGGGGCCTGGGCGGGGCCGGCGGGGGCCTGGGCGGGGCTGGGCGGGGCCTGCGTGTCCCCGCTCTAGGGCGCGTTCCCGCCCCGCGCGTCCCCAACGATCCGCCCGCAGAGGGGGCGGCGGGCCTGGCGGGCGGCGCTGGCGGGGTTCTGCGGCCGCCATGGCTGCCGGGGCGGGGACTGCGGTGTGGGCACTGAGCCCGCTGAGCGCGGTGTGGCTGGGGCTGGCCGCCGCCTTTCTGGTGACCCTGCTGCTGCAGCTCGTGCCGCCCCGCCTGCTGCCGGAGTGCGCGCTCTTCCAGGACCTCATCCGCTACGGGAAGACCAAGCTGGCCGGGCCGGCGCGCCCGGCCGCCTGCCGCGCTTTTGATGTCCCCAAGAGGTAACCGCGGGGGCCCAGCTCCGCGAGCCCGGCAGGGGGCAGCAGAGGCGTCCGCGGACCTGGGGGTGCCGCCCGCGAGCCTGAGGCGCGGGCCCGGACCTCGCGGCGCTCGGAGCGTCTCTCCCCCGCGGAAGTAGCACGGCCGGGTTTAGGCCTGGGCCCCGGGCGACAGAGTGGCCCTGTCTGCCCCGAATTCCCCGCTCCTGCGCGCCGTAGGTAGGAGCTCGCAGTCCGACCTGAGGTGCCCGGAATTGATTAGGTCCACGCTTGGCACCGGGTTCCCGCGCTTGCTGCCCCGACCCCCTCGCAGTCAGGACAAAGCAGGCCACGAGGCCGTCACAGGGACGCCACCTCCGTGGGCTGCGCCCGCGCTCCTGACCCCACCGCGGCCGCGGCCAGGGTGGCATGTCTTAGGCAGACCTGGATCCATTTAGCTTTCTCCAGATTTCATGAGAGATTGAATTGCTTGGTCCAGAAGAAGTCATTCAATCAGAGATTGTGAAAACTCTTAACAGTTTTCTTTTTTTTTTACTTTGAATTCAGGACAGAGATGGGAAGAGTCGGCCAAATTTTTACTATTTACTAGTACATTATTACTAGTACATTTTTACTATTTTTCATAGTAAAAATAGAGCGGTGTGTTTCTACCTTTCAGATGCACCCCAAATTGGCATTTAAAAATCAATGGGAAGGAATCTGAAACAGTTTCTGATGCGTTAAACATCTGAGTTATTAAAAAAACCTTTAAAGATTAGCTTGCTGGTAGAGTGAGCTACCTGTAAATGTGCTCAAGGCCATGGATAGAGTTTCCAGCGGTGGAAAAGCTTAAATTTTAAACATCACCAAACCGGTTCCGTGTTCACAGACAGCAAAGGGACCAAGTGTAAAGGCACCTGGCACCTGGATAAAAACCGGTGGTTTTTCTGTTGTTGTTTGTTTTGACAGGTCTCTGGGGTTTTTTTTGTTAAGGCTATCCCTGAACTCAGGGCAGTCTCCTGCCTCAGCCTCTTGAGTATGGGTATTACAGGCGTGTGTCATCGTGCTGTGGGAGAACGATCTGTCAGGTGTTAACACTAGGAGGGAAAACTATGTCATTCTGTGTAAGACACTGGCCCAACCTATTCCTTCAAGGTTCTTTTTAAATAAAAATCCCTGCAGGATGTCGTTTCCTACTTTACAGAAATGTATAAATTGTGAAAAGAGAACTAGTCATCCCTGGATTCAAAAATAATTCAAAGTCGGCCCCATGGGGCTGAAGATTTAGCTCAGTGGCATAATCTTGTGCTTAGTAAGCACAAGGTCATGAGTTCAATCCCTAGTACCCCACCACACACACACACACCCCTCAAAAAACAAGTAAAACCAGTCCTGCACTTTTGTGTCTCTTCGGTAGGACTTAAGTGTGTCAGGCTGGAACCTTTCCCTTAGTCATTCCTGTGACAATTGCTTTTTGGACTTATTGAAATTTCGAATATTTGTGAAATAATGCACACCTTGTCTTCTGGAATTCTAAAGTAGAACCTCCCATGGAATTCAAGTGCTACGGGGTGATTATTGTTCATTTTCCCTAAATTTAAGTATTTCTGAAGTACCACAAATTAAGGCCAAGAATGAAACACATTTTTATTGGGATGGGGAAAAAAAAGAGCAGTTGCATCAAAATGGAAATGACTCCAAAAAGCAAAATACATTCCTGTTGTTTTAGAGTTTGTACCCATTTACACTGAATAGAGGGCAGAAAGGGTGGAGGTGAGAGGGGAGCCTCCTTTACTCTGTATATTCAGGGTCTCCAATTGACAGTGTGCTTATAGTCAGAAAATAAAACCAGTATTCTACTGGCCAAGGAGCACATAGACAGGCTCTTAGTAGCCACCATGAAGTGCCAGCACTGTCACATGGATTAGTCCTCGTGGTACACCTATGTTGAAAATGTCATTGTCATTCCCATTCACAGGCACCCAGACTCAGGTGCGGGACAGGTTACATGCCTCCTGGTGAGGGCTGGTAGTGTGAGTGGTACTTGAACTTTGCCTTCTAAAATCAAGATCCCAAACTGTTTATTTTTAAAGTAAAAAAATAAACATTTCAAAATACAATAATTAGAGGGTAACTCTGGATAATAAATTGCATATTGTTATGTTCAAATTAGTTACTCAGCATAAGAATCTACATTTAATTGTCCAATATTAGCACAAACTTTTTTCCATGAATTAAGAGAAATTAATAACTATCTTAACAATCTTTACACATTATGAGCATGGTCTCTAGTTGTATCCATTTACCTATAAACAACTCAAGTTTATCCTTTATGGCTGAGTAGTACTCCATTGTATAATAATACCACAATTTTTTTTATCCATTCATTGACTGATGGACATTTAGATTATTTCCAAGATCTAGCTATTACAAATTGCACTTCTGTAAACATGGGTGCACATGTATTGCTGTGGTATGATGTCTTAAAGCAAGACAAAATATGCAAACATGTTTTGTAAAACCAGCAGGATAATTTCAGATGGTGATCCATACTTTAAAGAGAGCCAGTAGGGTTTGATGGTGAGCAAGATGGTGGGAGTGACAACCTGGGAAGGGTAAAAACAGTGGGCAGAGCTGCTAGCAGGGCCCTGCAAGCTGGGATGGAGCTGAAGGGGAGAGGGGTCTGCGTGAATGGGGCTTTCTGGGGGGAGGTGGGTGTTGCAGCACATGATTTATGTTTTAAAGGCATAGTACTTTAGTGGTCCAGACAAGAGACAGCACTGCAGCTGCAGACTAAAGTGGTAGCATAATAGGTAGCAATGACATGAATGCACGCAGCACAGGGCCAGTCACCTGGCTGTGATCAGTCAACATCATTTATTAATCCTGTAATTCTTCTTACTCGGCCTGGGATGAGTTCTAAAATTCAGCATATATGTATGAAATCAGATCGTGTCCCTAGGCTGAAAACCATATACTGCAGTTCTTGAGCATTCACAGTAAAAGCTAAGGCCCTCTATGTCATCTGTACCTCGCTGTCTCCTTAGTTTACCCTGCTGCATCTGTTCCAGTTTAGGGGCCTCTCTGCTATTCCTCTTTCCCACTCAGGGCCTTCACTGTCTGTCCCTACTCTACCTGATAAGCTCCCTCTGTTCCCTATGACATGGTGTATGCCATCACTTCCAGTGAGTCCACTGAGATTTCCCTTCTCACTGAGGCCCACTGTATGTATCTTGTTAAAATTGTAATTCCGCCATCCCCCTAATTCCTCCTGTCTCTTTCCCCTGCTTTAGTTTTTTAAGTTACTGCCTGCTTCCATGCTGTAAAATCTTTCGTGTGTGCGTGGCTGTGCATGCGTGTGCACATACACACCATGACCAACAGCAGGCTGCTATATCCCCTGCTCTAGAGCAGTCGGGGCTCGTGGTAATCACACCAACAGTTGTTAATCAGAAGATGTTCATGCAGAGCACTGTGTAATCCTAAGAAATACTTTCTCCCTGCTCCTAAGGGCTTGAAATGCATTGCTCCATAGCTGTGCTATGGTGCATGACTATAATCCAAGCACTCTTAGAGGCTGAGGCAGGAGAATCTCAAGCTCATGCCCAGCCGGGGCAACTTAATGGCATAGTGAGATTCTGTCTCAAAATTAAAAAATAAAAAAAGGTAGGGGAGCATCGCTCAGTGTAAGGATCCAGTTCACTCCCCAGTAACATACACAGCTACCAAGAGGCATAATCCCAAAGGAGGAACAAGAAGGAACAATGTGTAAAACAGCAGGCAGTGAAGCTTTTAGATCTGCATTTTGAAGCTTGAACTAGGTCTTTAAAAACAAATGAGAGGCGAAGCTAAAGATGGTGGATCAGTAAGCAGAAATACAGAGCTTCCCTGAGAAAAACAACTCAGATGCAGGAATAAAACATCCTGGAGAAGACCAGACAGAGACAGATGGATCCTCTTGATCTACAAAGAAACTAAAGGGAAAAGAGCTGGTCAAACATGCGGTCGCTGGGCTACCATCAGAGCAGCTCAGATTCATGGCCACAGCGTTCTTGCTGGAGCTGCCCAAACTGAAGATCGCAGCACTCGCTGCTGGAGCCGAGGTTGAACTAAAGTTGGGAGTCGACGAGCCCAGTGGAGAATGGAGCTGGCATGGAGACCTGCAGTAAACCTTGGTTAGTGCTCAGAATAAGACCCTCCCATTGGAAAAGGGCGACCAATTGGACGACATGTTGGAATCGGGCAGGACGGGCCTGAACTAGGAATGGCAGTGACTTCAGTTGGTTACTCCCTGCCTACAGCAGATTGGTGGGATCTGCTTTGCCTGGGTCACACCCCTGGCTGGGACCCAGTGAGTTGTCCTAAAACAATTCCCTATGCACTGTGCACTCTGATGTGGTAAAGACCCCCGCAGGTTGACTGGCTCAAAGGGGAGGGGCCAGCATACACTGCCCCTGCTTGCACCTCAGTGACCAGCAGCAAACTGGAGAGGGCAGAATTCCCTAACCAGTACACTTTAGAAGAACCATCGCCAACAAGGAAAGGGGCTGGGACCTCCACTATACACCTATATGGAAGAAACCAAAAACATGACAAGAGAAATAAGAAAAAGCTCCTAGCCCCCAAACTTGTGAATATTGATCCAGGAGAGGCAAATACAAAAGAGATTGAGGGCAGAAAACATGCAATATCAGACATGGCATCAGCAGACATAAAGAGATATCTTCGTGACCTCACAGGCAAGCTCAAAGCTGAAATATTAATTCAAGTAAGCCAAGATATAAGAAGATTAATAAAAGAAATGCTAAGCACCTGTCAAGACACAGATGGAAGAATGGAGGAACACAAAAGAAGAAGAGAAATGTTTGATGATGAATATAAGGAAAATGTAGAATACATGAAACAGATTCAAAGAGATTACCAGGAAATTTAAAACTCCATCAAAAGCTAGAAAAATTGCCTGACAGAAACTAGAGATAGATTAACAAAACTTGAAGATAGGTTTGCAATGCCTGATCACAAAAAGAAAGATCTCAGAAATAACAAGGAAATAGGCAGTACCAATACAAAGGCTAGAAGATGACAAGAGGATCTATAACTTAAGAATAAAAATTTGAGTGCAGAAGCAAGAGTACATGCAAAGGAAATATAAAGGCTATTCATGGAAAAAATTAAGGAAAACTTCCCAAGCATAGGAAAAGGAAATGATACTCAGATGTATGAGGCATACAGAACTCCAGCCACCTACAACCCAAACAGAGCCACACCCAGATATATAATAATCAAGATTCCAGAAATTCATCACAAGAACAGAATATTAAAAGCTTTCAGAGAAAAGAAACAGATCACCTATAAAGGAAAACCCATCAAAATTACAGCCGACTTCTTGACACAAACCATCAAATCAAGAAGAGTTTGGAGTGAAGTACTCCAAGCCCTGAAAGAAAATAACCTCTAGCCCAGATTGATGTATCCTGAAAAACTATCTCTCCATGACAAAGAGGAACTGGGGGGATTCGTGACTACCAGTCCAACCCACAAAAAATACTGAAGGACATTTGAGAGAGAGAAAAAAAATAGTAGGATTTCAGAAACAGTGGCAGAGAGGCTTCAATGAATGAGGCAGACAGTGGAATGATGGAGAAAAGTAGACAACCAATGGCAGAAAAATAGTATAGCAGAGATGAGGCAGAAATGGTTAGCTATAATCTCTAACACAGATGGCCTTGATACACTAACAAGCAGAGTAGATCAGAAGGTAGGGTCCATTGAGATGCTTTGGGTAGAAAATATAATTAACTTGAAAGAGGGTTTATGGACCGAAAATCAAATGTGAGAAAACAATGCTGTATGTGACAGGGAACCAGAGAGAAATAGGGACAACTCAACCAGCACCTGCAGATAGGCTGGAAAGACATGATACTTTTGTGCAATAGAGAAATACTCAGCTATAACGAAGGAAAACATTGAGGCTTTTGTACGTAAAGGAATACAGCATGAGATCAAGTCCAGGAGTGAGAAGGTTCAGAACGACTTAGGTAAATAGCAGGTTCCCCCTCCAATCTAAAAACTGAGGGAGTTGGTGGGACCCAAAATGTGCACTGCACCCTGTGGGAGTGAAAGGGGAGGAACTGTCTAAAAAAGGCAGAGGATATTGTTAATAGTGTATCAGGATTTAAAATCCACATTACTCTCATCTCTCTGTTTAGATGGATTATATTCTGTTCCAGTTTGTCTACTTGTACTAGATTTGAGGGCACAGACAGCTATCCCCAAAATAGCAAGATATAGTATGGTAATCATCCTTAATTTCCTATTAACTCAATTTGAAGCACTGTGTAACTTACACTGTCTTATTATGATCAATCATATTTGAATATGGTTTGTTAGATTGCTGTTTTGTATCGACTGATTTTACTCAAATCTGTTATGATTGATACTATCAAATCTTAGCATTTGGCAACTACACTGAAAATGACAAGATTCATTAGGATACCCACTCTGGTTTATGACCTGCTTTTGAAGTCTTATAATATCTCCAATGTTTCATTTTTATTAATATGTTATGTACTCCTATATTAAATTATATTATGCTTGGTGATGTAGACAGTCCTATTAACGATAACAAGACTCATCATAGTAACCATTATGGATCACCTTGTGTTGTGATTTTATATGACTTTCATTTCATGTTTTTCTAGGAATTTGTTTTGTTTTGTCTTTGTTTTGTTTTTCCCTCTAATACAGAAAGGATAGATATACATGTAGAGACTAATGCATGTGTAGAACTTACAGTCTATGACAACTGATTATATAACACATGATGAAATGAACAATTACTTTGAAGAAAAAGAGACACTACAGTACCCAGTGCTGAACCCGTCGTGTCATTGATGTGAAATCCAACAATACTATTATTCTTTGTTCAGAGTGATTTTAGTCTGTTTTGTTTAATTTCAACGTACATGAAGGCATGGACAGCTATTTTGAAGAGAATGAGAGACGCTATGACAGCCATTGTTGACTTCCTTATTGTCTGGTCTTGAGGACGTAAAATGCCTTCATCATCTTGTTTGGATCAGTCTTATACTATGTTGTTTTGTATGAATTCACTGTATGTGAAGATATGGACAACTATTTGGAACACAACAAGAGACAATATGATAGATAGTAAAGATCTCTGGTTGTTTTGCTTTGAAATTTGTCTTACATTGCTTTCTTAGATATGTTTTGTTCTGTTTTGGTTATGTTTAATTTTACTCTCTTTAAAATATAAAAAAAGGGGGCTGGGGATTTAGCTCAGCGGCATAAGCGCCTGCCTTACAAGCAGGCAGTCGTTGAGTTCGATCCCTGGTACCGATAAAAACGAAAAAGACAAAAAAATAAATAAATAAATAAAATTAAAAAAAAAAAAAGAAATGTGAGTTGCTCTAAGAAGAAATCAGTGTTTCCTATCGTGTATGGGAAATTAGGAAGACAGAGTGCAGGAATGTAAAAACAACTATTCGACTTTGAATCAGCAACACCATTACAGGATAGCAAGATGGGGTCTAACAACTTACACAAAATGTTTCCGGCTCGATCCAACTTGGTTCTAAGTAGTCAGAGAAGCAGATCCAGATAAGCCAAGGCTATGTGAATGAGAGCACAGTGATGTAACTTGATCTCAAATCACTGGAAGTATCTGTGCAGCCAAGTGCTCCCATTCACTGTGGGAAATTGCTAGGAAGCAATTTAATGTCTCTGAGCCTTAGTTTTCTCATCTGCCACATGAAGATAACATAAGCATGAGATCGTTGTGAAGATGAAATTCAGTAATAATGTTAACTGTAGGATCCATTCCACACCTCTATGCCGTGCTAGACTCTTCTCTACCTAGTTATCAGAGGCTTTTTATTTAAACTTAATCAAATTTATATGCATCTTCTTTTAAAAGTGCTTTACTTTTACTGTGTGGAAACATACATGGCATAAACCTCCATTAACACATTCTGAGAGTACAGTTCAGGGGCTGCAAGTTCATTCACATTGTCATCGTCCATCTCCAGAACTGTCCTTCAGCCAGATGAATGTGTGAAACATCCATTGTGGCCTCAGCACAGCCGCCCACTGAGGTATCTCCCCTCTAAAAGCCATCCTCCTGCAAGGCCCTGCAGCTCTGCCTCCCACCCCGAGACCAGGCCCCCCAGCCATACTGGGCCCTTCTCTGTTCTTGATCACCAGTATGCACCGCTTTGGTGCCTCTGCAATCATCTGACCAGAAAGCTCTTCCCCCAGAAATCCACAAGGATCACCCCTCTGGCAGGTGTCCCCCAGCCGCCATCCAGAACAGCCTCTGTTCCTCCCTGTGCTTCCACCCCACCTTACGCTAGGTGTGGCAGGCTGCTTCATGGGCTTCCTGAGTGTCCAAGGAAAGTAAATTCCTCCAAGGCAGGGATCTGGTCAGCTCTCTGCCACGTTCCCAGCACCACCCAAGTGCTTCATCAATACTGGGGGGAAAGGGAAGGCAGTGACGCAGCCAGGCTGGAGGTTGCTCCGTAGAAGCCTCGCCTTTCCTCAGCCTTCCTCTGGCCACACCTGACCAGGAAAGGTATCAAGGAAGCCCTGGAAAGTGAGAGAAGATGGCAGCCAGGTGCTGATGAACCTGCTGCACTTTGGAGAGAACTAGGCCTTTAGGCCTACATAAAAGCGTGACCGTCTGTACCTGATTTCAAACCTCTGTGTAGGATTAAACTTTATCCAATCCCATGTGACCAGAGTGGGCAGATCCAAGACCAGAATTTGCTGAAAGGAGTGGGGAGAATGAAGCGAGTTGCCATGGAGTGATCAGATTAGGTCAGGTTTGTCAGACTGGGTTGATGGGTGAGGTCTGTGTGAGCAAATACTGGCCTCCCTGGAGGAGCCCCTGAGCTGATAGTTAATCCTCTTTGGCTCCAGGTTGTACTCTTCACAGACCAAAGAGAAAAAAAAAGGAGAGGTTTAATAAAGATGCATGAAAGACCAGGGAAGGCTTTGTAATTCAATACCCAGAAGAATCCGAAGGGATTTGAATTAATTCACATAGAGGAAAAATGCAGGCTAACCCCAAAATCCAAATTGCTCCAGTATCCAAAACTTTTTGCATGCTTACATAATGCCCCAAGTAGGAAAACAAACAAATTCCACACTGGGATTCATGTGATAAATCACAGTCAAAATGCGAGTGTACTAAAAAAAAAAAAAATTCTGTATAAAATTATCTTCATGTGTACCTAAAGTGCTGGCGACATAAATGAAGTGCTCAGACTGGGGTTCTATCCCTGTCTGTTAATTTATAAGCAAATATTCATAATTCTGAAAAAGCACAATGTGAGACACTTGATCCCAAGTGTTTAAGAAATACTCGGCCAGTTGTAGAAAGGTGTGGGGAAGGGACCATCAAAAGAACAGGTTCTTGTGTGCAAGAACAAGAAAGTTCTTGTGTGCTATTACGTGATGTCATTTTAATAAGTCAGCTTCTTTCACATTAAATTAACAAGGATAATGTCATTTTCTTGGTTTTGTGGTAGTATCTATATTTGGTTTGTAAATGTGTTCATTGCAAAATAACTCTATACTTACCTGAGAAATATAAGGAGTTCCTACGTATGATTAATGATACTTGTGTTATTGAAATGTTTGTCATTATATTTAGGTCAGCATAATTCAGAAAAATACTGGAGCCTAAAATCTTTAAGGTTTCTTCTAGCATGTGTCTGAGACTGTGCAACTCTTACGCAATAGTTGTATGATTCAAGTTCTTTCTAAAAGCTAAAGAGTACTTTGGGTTGGGGACTGGTAGAGGAACTAAAAATAATCTTCCTGTGTAAGAGTTTAACACCATTCTGCCTTGATGACTAACTCCTTTTCCTTTTGCAGGTATTTTTCTCACTTCTATATCATCTCTGTGCTGTGGAATGGCTTCCTACTTTGGTGCCTTACTCAATCTGTATTCCTGGGAGTGCCTTTTCCAAACTGGCTTCTCGGTCTCCTCAGAACTCTCGGGGCAATGCAGTCCCAAGGTAAGACTCCCCTGACCCCTGACAGCACTACAGCTTGTTCTTGGCTCCTGTGGCAGGGAGCTGTGCTCCCAGCCCTTCCAATGTATATAACCAGATGGCCGCGGGGATATCCCGGAGTCCTCACGGAGATTGTGGCTGAGCCCAGAGTTGGTGCTCCAGTCCCGACTTCCCCCAGCCACAGAGCAGTGGGCAGGAGTGGCTGCCCTCTCTGTTAATTTTAATACAGTACTGCTGATAAATTTATGGAGAAGTCTGTACACATGTGGAGGAAGCTTTTAGGCTCCCTCAGGGTTGACTTGCAACATTAATCATTTATACATTTCAGCCAAAAGCATATCTCAGAACTCACAGAGATTTGATTTTAAGTAGCTTTTGGTAAACAGATGAAAAGGTTTGCTATGCTATGCTATGATGCTTTGGTTATATTATTACCTGCGCCTGATTTTTATTACATGGTCTTTTAACGTGCCACATTCAGCAGTAGATAAGGGATATGCAGAACAGTTTTTAAATAAGAAAGCAGCACATCTGTGGCCTCAGCCACTCAGGAGACTGAGGCAGGAGAGTCACTTGAGCCTAGGAATTCAGGACCAGCTTTGACAACAAAGCAAGACCTCATCTCAAATAAGTAAGTGGAAATTAAAAGTTAAAGCCATGCTGTGGCTTTAGTTAAAGTCAGACAGAGAATGAGGGGCACAATTAGAAACAAAACTGTTCTCTATCCTTGTCTCTATCCTTTGGTCCAGCAGCCAAACTACCAGCTCCCTAGGAACAATCCTTTTCTCTGCAATAAAGAATTTGTTGCAAAGACAAAAAAAGCAAGAGAAAAACTAACATATGAAACCAGGAGGGTTGGTGGGGGGAATGACTAAAGTAGTTATGTGCATATATAAATCTGCCAAGAAACCCATGAATCTGCACAGAGACAGAGAGACAGAGACACAAAGAGAAGGAAAGAGCGGGGAGAGTGAAGAGCCCCACGCACGTCCTGCTGGGAAGGAGGTACCCACAGCAAGTCCCCTCTCACTCCTCAACACTCTTGTGTTTGCTGGGAAAGAGCCCACGTTTTAGTGTTTGGAGGGCTTGTTTCCATCTCTTCCTAAAAAATTAATAAGTATATTTAATTTATTTAAAATATAAAGAGAGCAGAGCTAATCTGTGTTGATAGATTTCAGGACAGGGGCGGGTAGCTCAGTGGTGGTGGGAACAGTAGGGGGCCCGGCCCTGTTCTTTTTTGATCAGTCAGGGTGCTTGTTATATGGGCGAGATGCATTACTTTAGCCTTGTGACATGTGTGTTATTAATTTTAAATATAGAAAAACTAGGTTTTATGTTATTTTAAAAAATAAGTTATTCTGTAGACTTGTCTGGGGACCAAGGGATGAGAGACAAGCAGGAGGGTAGATTTCAGGGCCCTGAAAGGTTTTACCACCCTGAAGGGTTTTGCTGTTCTTGTCCTTTTGACATTCCTTGGGCTTAAACCCAGGGCCTTGCACATGCTAGTCAGATACTGTACCACTAAGTTATACCTAAGCCCTTCTTTATTTGTTTTAGTATAAAAGAAATTCACAACTTTTTATTCCTCACTCTACCTCTCTGGGTGCCTGGGATTCTGGCTAGTCTCCGAACAGGTAGGACTGTTCGGAGACTAGCCAGACGCTTCCTATTTGCAGCTGGCTGCACCAGGAACCAGACACTCACAGATTGTGGGCTCTGAAACAGACCTGTACTCAGTGACATAGCCTGGAAGGCTGTCACATGGTGCAGCAGAGTGAAGAGGTAGATGTTTGCCTTGTACCCTCATTAATTCACTGCATCCTCTTGAGCCAAACTCTGTGACTTCAATTGACCCAGGTCTTCATGGCTAAAAAGAAGGTGTTAGACTGGCAGATTTCTTCTCATAACTCTAATCATATTTAGTACTTTGTTTGAACAGTAAGGAAAAATAAAGCCGGACGTGGTGGCTCATGCCTGTCATCCCAGCACTTGGGAGGCTAAGGCAGGAGGATTGTTGCAAGTTCAAGACTAACCTGGGCTACAGAGTGAGTTCAAGGCCAGCCTGAACTACATAGTGAGACCCTGTCTCAAAAATACCAAAAAAAAAAAAGATAAGAAAAAGCAAAACCCTGGGGGGCTGGGGATTTAGTTCAGCGGCATAAGCGCCTGCCTTGTAAGCAGGCAGTCGTGAGTTCGATCCCCAGTACCAATAAAAAAGAAAAAGACAAAAAAAAAAAAAAAAAGGAAAAAAAAGAAAAAGAAAAACCCTGCTTTAGAAGACAGCTGAACGTGTTGAACTTTCTGAACTGTAGGTGGTGAGCTGGCGCTGTCTGTCTTCTTGGTACTCCTCTTCCTATGGCTTCACAGCTGGCGGAGACTCTTCGAGTGCTTCTATGTCAGCGTCTTCTCCAATGCTGTGATCCACATCGTGCAGTATTGTTTTGGCCTTGTCTACTACGTCCTCCTCGGCCTAACTGTGCTGAGCCAAGCACCCATGGATGGCAGGAATGGTGAGTAGCCCCTGCCTCAGCTCCGGCTCTGCAGGCACGGGGTATGGGGAGCTCTTGAAGTGATGGCTCTGCACAGCACTCAGATGGCCCAAAGTAGGAACTGACCCAACTTACTTTGCCTTCAAGCTTCTTAGACTCTGGTAATCAATATTAAAAGTCAACATCTGCCTGGCAAGCATGAAGTCATGAGTTCAATCCTCAGTACCAAAAATAAATAAAAAGTCAACATGTCCAAGTTACATTCGTATTAACTGTAAATGCTGAAGCCTTAAGGGAGCGACATAAGCCGTCATGCCTTCTGTGAAGACGAATGCTCACGAGGCTCTGCTTAAAGACAGTGAGATGGGGTGTGGGGTTCCCTGGAGGGACTAAAGCTAGCAAAGCTACTTGGGGCTAGTCTGCGGCAAGGGAGAGTGTGTGCAAGTGCTGAACAGGAAGCCGGGGAGCGGCCAAGAACTGGAGAAAGGGCCAGCAAAGGAAGTGGCCTTGGGGAGGTCTGAGCCATGCTGGGCTGCCTGGGGGAGGTGAGAGGAAGCTGTACGGAGTTAAGTCCTGAGATGAGCGCAGAGGTGCTCCTGCTAAGTCGTTGAGATTGGAAGGGAGAGTGGGAAGGCTTCCTTGCCGTTCACTCTTCTGATTGCTCCCTGTACACCAGAGCTTTGCCTCACGCAACGGGGAGGACAGAGGCTGCAGGCAAAGGGCTCTCCAGCCTGGAAGAGGCAGCCAGACCCCTGCATAGGAGAAGATAAAGAAGTAGTTTATTGTTTTATTTAGGGGGAGGGGGTCTACCTAAGTGAATATTATCTTTATAAAAACAATGTATATGTATTGTAAAGAATTCAGGTCATTTTGGGTGATTCAGTTTTTAGTGCTGAGGTTAACTGGACCGTAGCCTTCTGTCCCCCAGATGCTACAGATCTTTTCTGACCATTTTCTCTGAGTCCTGAGCTTCCTGTTTCCTAATGATGCCCCATCAGTCCTTGTAAATTGAGACGGAGATCTAGAGATTCCTAACATTCATTGTGTGAGCCTCCCTCCCTCCCACTCAGGTCTGATTTTGGTGTCAGAAATTAGTGCCCCTTAGGGTCTTTTCTCCATTACTGTAACACAGCCTCTTTGGTTAGAGAAAAGTTTTTGGGTTTGTGTGTGTGTGCTGCTAGAATTCAAACCCAGGGCCTCATACATGCTACGCACACTGCCACTGAGCCACATCCTCAGTCCCTAGGGCAAAGATTTTACAGGAAAGATTACTGATGGTCTTGCCCAATTCATGAATTACTTATTGGCCACAGTCACACAGCCAGCATTTCTGCATCTGATTCAAGTCAGTTTTTTCCTCCCTGGGTTTTCAGCTGTAGAATCCCTGCATTCTACTAACACGAAGCTATGAGCTGTCATTCCTAGTTTTTCACCCAAAGAACTTTCTAGAGCACTTTGGTAACCTATTAGCTTTCAGTCTGTCAACTTCCATTGGCACTGCATATTCCTTTAGGAGTTTCCTGGATCCTACTTTCTGCCTTCTCTCTCTTATAGTCAAAGAAGGGCAGCCCAAGGCATCCACAAAAATTACTTCCTAACCATTCCGTTCTGAATATGTTTTACTATTTTACCTGGAAGAGGTCATCTGGGGTCACCCTTGAAGAAGTGATCTGGGGAGTACTAGTTTCTGTAATTCATTGAGACAGGACACAAACAGGACATTGAGAGAGGACACATTGGGGGATTTGCCAGCTGCAGTGTCACATAGAAATAACAAGGGCTTGTGGTCTACTGGGCCTAGGTCTGCCGTGACGAATCTCTCTGAGCTTCAGAGTCTCCATCCATAAATTGGACCAAAGACTCACTCTCCACGGTCCATATGGAAGTGGAAAGGAGGTCTGGAAACCAGAACAAAAGCTTCTTTTAAGATCTAGAATCACAGACTTAATGTTTTATCCTTTATGCGTACAAAAGGACGAGGCTCAGTGGACACTCAATAATTAGTAAATAAGTGTACAATTATGTGCCTTCCCTTCCCAGCATTATAATTCTGGCATTAGTCTTGTGAATTATTATTCCCTCATAGATGATGCCTCCCCATATTGGAGCACAGGACTTGTGAACTCCTAGATGTTCTGTTGAACTTTTAGTTCTTTAATGATTGGCTCTTGAAGCCTATCAGATGTAAAACCATTTTTCATATATTGTTTATTTTTGATGTAGATAAATACTACCTTTTAGAGAACACTAAAAAGAAGTTGACTGATTCTGTAGCAAAGGTTTTTGGCAGAAATCAACATGGGTGGACTTTGGGTTCTCACTGGTAATTAGCTATTCTCACTGACTCCTACCCATAGGAGCCCCTAGAGAACAGCATGATCCTTGGTTCTCCTGCTTGAATTTATCTTTCAGGGGTTCCTTCTTGGCTCTTTTCTAGTATCAATGGACAACCTTGTCCCTTCAGTCAAGATAGATGAGGCCAGCTGCATCCTGCTAGTCCTAAGGAGGCTTCGGTGGCTGTCTCATGCCAGTGGCATGCTCTTCATGTCCTCTGTGGGCTGCCTTCCCTCCTTCCTGGTAGCCAGAGGAGGAGGAAGAAGGTAGTAAGGGAAATGCTCTGCCATACTAGATGCTGTAATCCAGAAAGAGAAACCATCGTTCGTCTTGTAGTTTGCATTTCTGTTCTTTCTGAAAAACCCCTCTGTCTGCCTTTACCTGGAGGACTTTCTTCACCGGCCAGTGCCAGACAGCTCTGCACTGTGCTTCCAGGAACTGTAGACCTGGGCACAGGGTGGTAGCTCAAAGAGATTCCTTTAAAAAGTGTTCTCCTGACAGGAAAAAGGAAGGAGGCTTAAAATGGGTTCTAGCAATGGTGACCCAAGGCAGTCTCATCACACTCAAGAGCAGATCACCCAAAATGGAGCTGAGCATTTGAAGAAGAAGGCCCCTAAAGTATCAAAGGAGGAACGGGAAGGTGTCAATATGGACTTCTCTGCTGGCAGTCACTGACGCTGTGCATGTATGAGGAAAATATCTCCTTGGTCTAGAGGAAATTTGTCTTGGTTACTTTTCTCATTGCTCAAACAATATACCTGATATCCAGAGTTTGAGGAGGAAAGGTTTATTTGGTTCACAGTTTGTAGAAGTTTCAATCCATAGTCAGCTGGCTCCAAGGCAGTGGGATGGCAGACAGGCATTGCAGAGGAAAAACAGTTCATGGTGGGCAGAAAGTAGCAAAGCAAGTGATAGACAAAACAAGCTTCTGTCATTATATTATACTCAGGCTACCAGGATTAGGATGGTGCAAAGCCAATCAGTGGGTTCATTTAGTAATTACCCATCCTCAATCTTAATACTCTTAATCCTACCATTGCACCATGAACCAGTCGGACACTCTAGATTCAGCCACCTCTGAAAAAGCCCCACTTAGGACTGCATGAAACTTTGATGGGGCAGGGGAGGTGGGAGAGATCTAATCACAAGCCATAACAGAATTGCACCAGGATAATATGATTGTTTTTAATTCCCCAAGCCTCCAAAATTTTGCAGAACTGGCTAAAAGAATAATTCCTATTTCCACAGTGTATGTAAAAGGAAAAAATCCATTGATGCAAGCACGGTGGTTCCACATCCTTGGGATGATGATGTTTATCTGGTCATCAGTCCACCAGTATAAGTGCCATGTCATTCTCGGCAACCTCAGGAAAAATAAAGCAGGTGAGATGACTTTGACAGTCTCTGCACGTGGATGGTAAGCCTCAGTAGTTAGTTCCCTGTGTTCTTGTATTCTTTCCTTCTTGCCTTAGTTGACTAATCTACAAGACACCTCTCTGTAGCCAGATCTCCCATCTGTATAATAAGATCCATCCTCTGAAGAGCTCTCTGGCTCTATCCAGCCCTAATAGCTAGGAGTCTGTGCTGTGCCCACGTTTGGGGACTGCAGTATACAGATGTATTGATCCTCCTGTAAGAGCTCATATAACTTCAGAGTTAGTGTCATCCCAGCCAAGCAAAACAACTTGGCATTCTAGTTAGCTCATATTCACTTGTCACAGGTGGTTTCCAGTTATTTTAAATATTAAAACATAAACATATTATTTAATATTCATTCAGTGCTTGTTGTATGTGAAGCCTTGTTGTAAATGCTACTGCTTCACAATTCCCACATAAAGGTGAGGAGTCTAATCTTCATATCAATGAGGAAAATGAAGCACTTACCTGAAGTTTCATACCTAGTAAGTAGGAGAACCAGAATTTGAACTCATGTCCTCTAACACCGAAGTCTGAGCTCTTATTAGTGACTGGAGTGGAAGGTTTCTGGAGGAACTAGCTGACCTTTGTGCTCCTGAACAATGACAATGTAACCTCAGCATGTGCCTTTCTGATACCTAGTAGATTATCAGTGGAAGTATGACAGGACAGTGGTTTGCATGCGGCTGTATGAAACTTTTCTCTAAACTTTTCTCACAATTCCCTAAAATGATTTAGGGAATAAAATGGTAACATTTTCTTATCAAGTCTTCAAATGCTCATGAAGTGGTCTTTTATCATTTCAGGAATGGTCATTCACTGCAACCACAAGATCCCTTTTGGAGACTGGTTTGAACACGTTTCTTCCCCTAATTACTTAGCAGAGTTGATGATCTACATTTCCATGGCTGTCACCTTTGGTTTCCACAACTTAACTTGGTGGCTGGTGGTAACATATGTCTTCTTCAGCCAGGCTCTTTCTGCTTTCCTCAGCCACAAATTCTACCAAAGCAGATTTGTCTCCTACCCAAAGCACAGGAAAGCTTTCCTCCCTTTTTTGTTTTAAGATAACCTCAGTCATAAAGAATGCCAGCTACATGACAGTGTGAAGTTGGAGACCACAGTGCCATTTCTACTAGACTGGCTGAAATTCTCTGTTCCACATTTATGTGAAAAAGAATTTCATCACATAAGCAGAGTAAGTCCCTGAAGAAGATGACTCCTGAGAATGTCTTCAAAGAAGAAATGTTTCTGGCAGACCTATGGTTCACTGTCTGCTTTCTGCAATGCCTTATAAAGCCAACCAAGTGACCAAAAGTAAGTAAGACTTCTCCAGGCTGCCTCACAAGCATGCTTACAAAGAATACAAACCGCATCTGTCACATATACCACAGAAGAGACAAGATCACCTGGGATTGCTATTTAGGGAACAGTAAGCTGAATTATATAATGAGGGATCTAGGAGGTGCTTGATAAATATTTGTTAGATTTCTCTAAAATCAAATTAGCCTTTGAAAATAACATTAAGAGGCTGGGGATTTAGCTCAGCCGCATAAACGCCTGCCTTGCAAGCAGGCAGTCATGAGTTCGATACCTGGTACCATTAAAAAGGAAAAAGACCAAAAAAAAAAAGAAAAAAGAAAAGAAAATAACATTAAGTCGGGCATGGTGGTGTACCTCTGTAATCCCGGCACTCAGAAGGCTGAGGCAGAAGTGCTGCAAGTTCAAGGCCAGCTTGGGCTACAAAATGAGTTCAAAGCCAGCCTGACCTGCATAGCGAGACCCCTGCCTCAAAAAGACAAAAACAAAATAAAACAAAAACAGAGAAAGAAAGAAAATAGCATTAATATATAACTTTATACCAGTGGTATCAGAGAGAACAGGGTTTTCTGCAGTTAGTGTATATTTCCCTATGTTACCACAAAGATTTCCAGTAATGTAGCAGGTAAAGGCCATTTCCACTCCTCTTCCCCACAAGTCATAGTCTAATGGGAAATTTTGAAACTTCTTTAATTTTCTTTGACATTCCTTTTAAGAGAGTACTTCAAAAGTGAAAGCTTCAGAACATAAAATATTTTTATATTTGTATAAAAGTCCTTTTTTAATGCTATGGATCAGTAGTGAAGCCTCATTTATCAGTAATGATTCAAATTGGAGTAATGTCTTCCTGAGAGTATTTCACTCAGCAGAATGAAAGTGAGGATATCGAAGAGTAAAGTTTACACTTAAAACAGCTTAGTTAGGAACATACCCATGAGTATGTCAAAGGGAAATAAATGTATAGTATTAAAGAAAACCTAAAACTTGAAAAATAACACTAGCCTGAGCAACAGTCTGCCAATGCATATAGTGTATGATTTTCTGCCCTAGTGGCTGAGCTATCAACTTCTTTTATGCAGCTATCTTATTACAGTCACTAGTTAGTAAAGTTTTGCATCTATATGTTGGTATGGGCAAAAGAACCTCATTATTAGCCAGACATGTCAAATGCAATCCTCACTAAGAATGTGTTCACCTACCTCCCTCCCTCCCTGGAGTTATGAAGTGAGGCTGGTGAATGCAGTTTAGTGTGTGCCTCTGTGTATGTGTGTGTAATTTTTTTTCAGTGCTGGGGATAGAATCCAGGGCCTTGTACATGCTGGGCAAGTGCTGTGCCACTGAGTCACACCCCTAGCCTTTTGAATCTAAACACATGCATGTCAAAACATATCCTGATGTTCTTACATTAATTCTAATGTAGCATTCTCCCATTAGTCAAATACAACTTAATTAAGAGTACTCCATTGCTTGATCTGTTCAAATAAAAAATACTCATTTTATGTAGAATTTGTCATCCTCAGGACCAGGACTCAGGAACAAAACTATTTCTGTGTTGAGGATGTAAAAGCATTTTGCAATTTGGTATTCATTTTCACACAAAGGATATGCATGATGTTAAGTACATTGTTTAGGAGGAAACTCTATTTTGCTTTAGCATGCAACTTTAAATCTTGATTAGACTAAGTACTTGGCTAATGTTCTGGGTCTTATATTTGAAGTAAAAGAATGAATGTTCCTTTTGTGGTTTAGCTTGAAAAAAATATCCCCCAAAAGGCTTATGTGTTTAGAGGTGGGGCTTTGAGAAAGTGACTAGATCACGGGGCTACTAGTCTCATCACTGGATTCATCCATTCATAGCGGAAGGTGCTGTGAGGTGGCGGGGGACAGGGTCACTGGGGGAGTGACCCGGGAGGATATGTTCTTGTCCTAGACCCATTTCTCTCTGTCTGGCTCTTTCACCCTATCTCTGTTTCTTGGTGACCATGAAATGAGCCGCTTTCCTCTTCCATGCCATTCCACCGTGTTTCTGCCTTAAAGCCAGATGGCCATGGTCTGAATTAGCCAAAATAAACATTTCCTCCTTTAAACTGTGTGTCACATACTTTGTTATAGCAATGAAAGGTGACCTACAGCCCCCATGAAGGATCCTGTGGAGCTTTGAGAAAGCGTTCCAGTTTCTCATTTTGTGTCCCGGTTTCCTTACTGTCCCTTGCACATTCCCTGTCTTTTCCCCAAACACTGCATTTATAGGTAAAAATAAAATAAAATAGTGAAGTCTTCAGAGGAGTTCAGAATGAAGCTGCATAGCTCGGCTGAAAGCTTAATTGAGGGGGCACAATTGGGAACTGTGCTGTGATCATGCAAATATTCCCTGTGTCTAAAGGGAAAGCAACGCCATAGAGATTTGCAAATTCTTCACAAAGATGATCCAGAAATAGCTTGGAGATAGAAATTCTTGATTTCCCTGTTGGCATAGTGAAACAGCCTTAACCTTTTACTCTCAGCTACCACCCACTTGGGAAAGGAACTGAAACTACCTCAGAACAGTGTTATCTGGGGTAACCACTGAGTATAACGTATGTTGAAAGTAGACATTCAGTCCCCAAATTATAACTCATCCTGCACACTTAGTGCTGGCTTACAGTGACATGGATTATTTCATCTCCATAAGGCTGCATTCTGTATTAAATTCAGTGAGTGATTATTGCTAAATTCCTATCCCAAAAAAAGCCTTTGCAGATACTTTTGTATGCCACTTAATGGGTACTCAGTTTAAGGAAACTAAACATTGATGGAACTGAAGGCCCCTGAAGACTCAAGAACTACTGATGACTCTTGTGTCTCAATATGATCTGATATGTTAGACTTTATAAAGTAGTAAAAGAGCAAGTTAATATTTTTCTTTTACTCCATTAACATCTAAGCAGTGTTTCCCATTTCTTTTGCATTACTCATCAGGAACAAAAAAAAAAATCTTCAGCTCCAACAATTTCTCAACCTGCCTGAGAAGTCCAGTCTGTTGATCTCATCACATTTTCATTGTCCCTTCCCCCGCTAAGACCTCTCCTCTCACCTTTCCTGATACAGGTCCCAAGAAAATCATAATTAGTCCTTGGTACTCAAGTCTCTTGCTTCCTCCTACTCTGGCCAGAGCTGTAGCCCTGGTTAGTGAGCCTCACCCTTCGGAGTCTCTCAAGCTGTGAGCACAGAAAGGCAGCTTAGCTTAGCTGGGGCTGCTGCATCGACATCCAGCAATCAAGGTGTCAGCAGGGCTGTGAGCTCATCTGTGCGCTCAGCTTCAGACCTGCCTGGGGAGGGCTTGCTTTCAGACTCACCCAGCTAGATGATAGGGGACGTGTTATTAATGTGCAATTGAGGGCCTTAGTTCCTCACTGGTTCCGTGCCTCTCCAGTTTCCTGCCACATGGGCCTTTCTATTGGAGTCTCTCACAACATGGTACCACACCAGCTTCCATCAGAACAACCAAGGATGACCAACAAGGGAAGAAAGGAGACACAATCTCTTTGCAACCTAAACTTGGAAATCAAGTCCTGTCACTTTGACCATCAGCAATTTTTATTAGTCAAACCCACACTCAAGCCAGATATGGTAGTATAAGCTAAGCACTGGGGACGCAGAAGAATCATCACAAGTTCAAGGCCAACCTGGACTACATGGTCAGTTCAAGGCCAGCTTGGACTACATAGCAAAACCCTGTCTCACAACCAGGTAGTTCTTTTTGAGTATGGGTTTCTATAAAGCCAAACTCAAGAGATTTATACAAAACCAGGAAACAGGACCATCTGTGGCTGCATATCATGGTCACCTTCTTAGGTGATTCCCCTATTTAAAATTGCAACATTCCAGATACAGTGGAGCATACCTGTAAACCCACCTATTTGGGAGGCCAAGACAGGACAATCACAAGGTCAGCCTTGAGCTTTACTTTATGAAACCCTATTGCAGAATTGCATTATATTTTCCTTACAAAGACTGCATGCAGCCAAATATGGTGGCACATGCCTATAATCCCAGCATTTAGGAGGCTTAGGCAGGAGACTTGCCGTAAGTTTGAGGCCAGCCTCAAAAACCCAAAAAGAAAAAGGTGCATTCAGTTTATATTAATGTGTGTGCAAAGCAATTATCCGTTTGTATATTTGGACTACCAAAAACCTGGTAACCATTCTGAGAAGTTGGAAATGGAATGAAATCAGTCAAAATAAATGTTTAGGAGTCCATAAACCATCCAAATACTTTCCCAGGTTTTGTAAGAAAAACACAGGCTTCATGTATTTACTCTTCCAAATATTAATGCTAAAACAAGGTTGGTATGACATGAAAATAGAAGAAAAAAACTATTCTTAGACAAAAGGAAGGGGAAAAGGGCAAGAAGAGCTGGGGTAATGAGATGATGAACAAGATCAAAATATATGCTTGAGGCCTGACATTTTGTAATTAACAGGCACTAACTATTAAAAAAAAACAAAAAAAAAAACTGCGGTGGAGAGCAATGATTAGTCTTTAGCTCAAAATTTGGTTCTCTCCTAAAATTACAAAAGGTCAGCACTCTGAGATTTCTTGCTTCCTGATCTGGAGACCTATTACCCTCTGAGCTGCTATTAACTAAGACTATGACTTTTTTTGACATGTAGATTGTGTAAACTTTTTGAGGTTTAAAAAACCGAAGTCTGTTACAGGAACCATGTAATCTAGTAAATGGGAAGGAATTTAACTTGCTCATCTATGTTATCCCTCCTTTGAATCTGTCCTAATCAAAAATAAGTATCTAATTAGAGCAAAATGTGGCCCACAGTAAAAGATTATAAAAGATGGTTTCAGTTTATCATGATTAATCATTGTTCCATCTCTTCCTCTCACTAATTGTTGCAGTCAAATTATGATTTCCTTTCCCATCTGAAATTGCTTATAGGGTTTCTTTTCATGATTTTGCTTTTTAAGACATAGAAATAAACTTTAGATTTCAGGATAATCATGCAACTAGGAATTAAGGCAATTGCAAAAATAGGCAAAGAGAGAGGAATGGATTCTTCTCTACCATATTCTGTAATCTACAATTCTGAGAACAAAGTTAGATGACATTTTTGTTAGGTTCTTTCCATGAAGCCAAATTAAAAGCTTATAGATTTAAAACAAAAAACTAAAAATTTCCAGATTGGGAAAATGGAGAATAAATAAATAAAAACACCCCTGATTTTTCTAAATTTTACTGTACTATAAATTTGCCTAAATCTGTTTGAGCCTGTGATTTATAATTTCAGTAATAACTTTGGTGATCTTATATCCTCTAACTTTACTGCACAACTCTTTCTGTCCTAAAATTCCAGAGCATGCTGAACAAGACCATTTTCTCTAACCACAATTATGATGTAATGTCCCTTCTCAGAAGTGTAAGGAACGGCAGGAGGAGAGACCAGCGCAGACCACAGGGCTTTGTGAAGGCAACATGGTGTGGAACTTATTGTGCCTGTGTGCAGGCAGACAGAAAACAAAAGGCTGTCTGTAGGGAGTAAAGCGGGCTTTTTTTTTTTTTTTTTTTTAACTGAGATTTGAAAGAAGGCAAAGGACATTAGTTAGGAAGATCTTAGCAAACATCAGTGGCCAACATTCTCAGGATGTCTCTCCTGCCTCAGTGGGCAAAGTCCTTGAGGCATCCATTGTGAATGTTTGGTGTCTCCAGAAGAACTTTACTGTCAAGCAGTTGGTGATGTGTGGACTCACATTTCCTAAAGATGCCACGCCCACACTGCACTTTAGGAGGAAGGAGGTGAGGCTGAGTTTGGCTGGCAGCCTGATACCACAGGTAGTAGAGCCTGACAGGGGTGGGGTGTAACACCTGGCCCTGAGTTGGGGTTGGGGTGGAGCTGGGGACCCAGGCTCCAGGTCAGGTCCAGTGGGTCTGCATGTACCCTCACAGCACAGCACCAAGGGAGATTTGTCCCTTTGGTGCCATGTTTCCTCTGCCTGAGGACACTGATCTTACCCCAGAATCCATGTGAAAACTCACCTTTCGGTTCTTCAAAGTCATCTATGCCATTTGCAAGTCCCACACAGAGAAAAACGAGACTGTGGCTGTACTTGCTGAGCTTCTGGTGCGTGCCGGAAGCAGACCATCATCTGGCCAGGAAGGCCTCAAACTTGGAGGTTGGGGTCCTTGAGGAGGAACTCCTGGAAAACCTGCCCTCCAGAAGGTCCAAGAATGCGGGAGCTCCTGGTCCTTGCCAAACAGCGACAGTCTTTGTGGCACTGCCCCCCTCAACACACACATTGTCAGCCGAGATCCCCAGCTTCCTTTGAGTGGTAGCCACAAGGGACAGTGGCAGAGTCTCAAATGTCTTTCATTTCATGAGGGTGGGGCAGGGGCAGCCTAGTGACCAGCCCTCAGGAGATACCTTCAGCATAACTCTCAAAACAATTTAAGATTGTCAAGTGCTTATGTTTTCTTGTTCTTTTTAAGGGAGACCTCCTGTTTAAGCACTATCATTGTATTCCATTCCCTGGAATGCTTTTGGTGGCATGCTGTATTTGAACCTGATACTATGAAGGTGTGTCAAAATGAATAAGTAACATCTGATTGTGCTGTGCATGCTAATCAGTTTTGCTTATTCATGCAGTATAGATTTCCCATCAGGCTAAAAGGTATTTGAGGGTTGAAGAGACCTTAAAACTGGTTGGTTGAGATTCATGAAGGGCATGCTATTTTTGTGGTACTAAAGATGGAACTCTAGGTCTACACCCTGAGCTAGTACATCCTTAGTCCTTTTTATTTTATTTTTATTTTGAGAGAGGGTTTCTCTAAGTTTCTAAATTGCCCCAGCTGAAACTTGCTATCCTCTTGCCTCTGTCTGCCAGATACTGGAACTTACAGGAATGTGCCACAGGGCCTGACCTACCTATTGTGCGGCGCCTAGGCCCATGTTTTCTTTTCATGACTTGATAGGATGTGTCTTCTGAACCATAAAGTTTAAGCTCTTTTATGGTAAATGAGACAAGAAAGGCTTCCAAGGCCATTACTGATATAGGGGAATGAAACACCCAAGCTACTATGTCGAGAGTTCATGTTCTCTAAAACCGAAGAATGAATTTTAGGCATAGTGGAGGTTAAGAGCACAATATATTTATTGAGAGAAAGAAAGCTTCAGTCTGAGAGAGACTGAAGGGGGTCCCGAGCAGGTTTCCCAGAGTTCTGTCTTTTTCAGGGACTTTTATAGAGTAAAACCCTGGGATCAAGGCTGTGGGGGGTGGGGGGACTGGGAACTCACAAAGCAGATGGGCATAAGGTGGGACATAACTATAGTTAGCCAATAAGATCAATAGTTTAGGTAAAACTGATTACACTGGGGACAAATGGGAAAGCCAGTCACATTGGAAGGGGCATTCTTGGAGCTGTGACCTTTCCCCTAGGGGGATGGGAGAGTGACTCCAGGGTGATAGGGAGCTATTTAGAATATCAGTCTTTAGGATGTGGATGCATTTGTTTGATCCTTTGTCTTGAGGCCCACAACAGGAGGTCTGTCTCCCCCACAGTTGCAAACTATCCGGGCTTCTGCACTGGCTCTTTGAGGACCTAGCCCTGTCTCACTGTCTGTAATATTTCTGACTAACTTGGCTGCCTGCCACAATTTCTACTTCTACTTACTCTGATTTTTCTACTCCAGGAACAGTATTTCTTAAAAAATTATAGGCAAAATTATAAGCCTTGCAGACTGCCCTCAGCATCTCCCACTTGCACATGGTATATTCTGATTAGGTTTTCCCAGTCACTAGTCTTTCATGGTTTGATCTCAGATAATATTATAAAATTACCTTTGGAAACTCTTGGTAAATAATATTGCCATCTTCATTTTAGATCCTGAAAAGAACTAGGTCCTAGAAACAAAGAACGACTCACCCAGGGGCTCTGTAAGGGCAGGCAAAGCCAGACAGTTTTCACTTAACAAATCCAGGAAGTTTACTTAAGGGCACAGCTGTGGAGTACTTACAGGAAACACTAATGATGACCCTCCTCCTGGATCAGGCAAGCGTCTCAAGGTTGTTCTTGTATCAACTTTGATTAGTTTAATGCCTTAAATAAAAAGAACGATCATTTCTGACTCTGCATGTTACTGCCTTGAAGATAGAATAATTTATCATTGAATCATATTTAAGTAACATCTACAATGTGTAACACACAGAGGTAGGTCTTGAGAGGAATACAGGGTTATGTAAGATAAGATTCTTGCTTTCAAAGAACACACATTCCAGTAGGGAAATGATGCAGATTTATCAACAACCTACTGCTTTTAGTTAAGATCATGAAGGAAATCTGTCAGCCTCCGTCATTCCTACTCACTTTTCTCTACTTACCCCAATTCTGACACTTTGAAGACTCTGACTGTATGCAGGGTCAGCTTCAAGGGCTGGAGCCTGTGTCCTGCACAAAATCCCCCTCACAGGAGGGGCCATGCCTCGGTTGATCCTCTCCTGTTGCTGTCTTAATTTTTAATAATTGTATCTTTGAACTTCTTTTTGGTGTATGAAGTTCAATGGAACAGGGCTCATACTTGTGAATGGTATAAACTCACCAGGGCGTAACGCCTGCATAAATGCACTGGGTTCTGACAGTACTGTCCCCAGCATGCACATGGATGCCTCAAGGCCACCAGGTACAGGAAGGAGGCTAGGATCTAGGCCAGTGCTGCAGAGGTATCCATGGTAGCAGCAGAAGCAGTACTCACAGTGGCAGGGGCCATGGCTCCAGAGATAAGAAGAGGTTCTCACAGGAACAGTGCAAGAATTCGGGCTGGGAGCTCAGCTTGCCTGTATCTCCCTAGACCTGGTCCCTACATCACTTACACCATGCTCTGGGCCACAGACTATTGGTGTTCATGTGTCAGTTTTATCAATGAATTATTTTTTTAAAGGTGTGTGCAACATTTTATAAAGTGTATCTAGGAATTATTAGAATTCTTCAAATGGTTAGATTCTACAGTTTTAAAAATTGCTGTAACATTGTAAAGCAAATAACCTCTTAAGGTTATTAGAAATAACCAGATGTAGTGGCACACTTCTATAATACTACCACTTGGGATGTTGAGCCAGGAAAATTGCTACAAGTTTGAGGCCAGCCTTAACTATAGAGCAAGACCTTATCTACAAAAAAAAAAAAAAAAAAAAAAAAAAAAAAAGATTAGAAATTACATTTAGAACTTGGTGTAGTAGAACATACCTATAGGAGGCCAAGGCAGGAAAATCACCTGAGCACAGGTGTGTGAGGCAGTATACTTTTAAAAATAAACACACCCACCCACCCACACACACACAGATGGAGACACAGCTCAGTGGTGCAGCATTTGCCAAGAACACACAAGACCCTGCCTGTGTTTGATCCCCAAGACCGCAAAAAACAAAACAAAAAGAAATTACATTTACAGTTATCATATTACAAAAGAGAGGAGTTTCTTGGTTTTGGTTTTGGTTTTGGTTCTTTTAAACAAGTGTTGCTTTGGATGAACCGTAGTCTTAATTCGTAGCTGAACCTGTTGTTGGTCGGTGCGGCCTGGCCAGAAGCAGGCCTCGGAGGTGGAGGGGCATAATTCCCTCCCCAACTCCTCCCTTTCTCTCTGCTTTGCACCCACCATGACTTGAACAGCTTCCTCCACCCCAGATCCTTCTACCATACCCTTCCTGCCTTGGACTCAGCTGACTGTAGACTGAATCCTCTAATAACCATGAGCCAAAATAAGCCTCTCCTTCTTTAAACTGTGGGTTACTTTGCCCCAGCAAAAAGAAAATAACTAAGAGTACTCTGGGCTGCACTAAGGAATTTAGCAGAGGAAAAATCTGTTTTCATTTTGTCCAAGACTGATACCACAAAAGAACAATTTGGGGCAATGCCTTCAATGAGTAGCACCCTCACACAAACTATGATTTTTTTTTTTTTTTTAACTATCAATAGCATAAGTTTGACAGAGATGAAATCCATTTAAAAGAAGGAAATACTCAGGTACGGTAAGCTAGAGAGCTATTTTGTTCCCCAAAGATTAGTTAAATGACCACAATGATCTGGACCCAATTTCTATTTTTGATTTCTTCAGATATAATGGCTCTCGGTGAACTTTGCAGTAGAAACAAAATCACAGTAACGACTTACTTTTGAAAACTGAGACATCAGGGAAAAGAATTTAAACCAGATTGGCTCCCTATGGGAGTCTAACAAAGATTCACTGTATTATAATGCATTATTTCCATATGATGATTGTTGCATAAAACTAATTTATTGCTGGGATTGAGAAATATCACAAAGGTGCATATTTTCCCAAAACAGTGTTAAGTCTATCTTCTCAATTTCTAATGAAATTACATTCTTATGAGATATAATTTATGCATCAATTCTTTTTGAGGGCCCTTTTTAGTCACATGTCTAATGCTTACATTGTCCAAATATACAGTACTCAGCAAAGCTGAAAGCATATACAGCATTACAAGGAAAGATATCATAACATTTTAAAAATTAGGAAAAATAATCATAATACATATAAGAAACTCAAAAACATTCATAATATATAAAGCCTTTTGCAAGTCAATGACAAACCAATTTTGCAGCGTGCTTCCATTTTCTGGGCTGTTTCAAGGTCAGTGTTGAAAGAGAAACACAAGTTAAACAGAACTTTGTGAAGAGAGTAAAATGGTCACCTTCCTCGGTCAGGAGAGGGACAGGCGATGGACTGGGTAGCAATTACAGACTGAAAAAGCCATGGACTCTTTGTGACCTCTAGTTTATTATCTCCTCCTTTCTCCTCACCCTCCAGAGATTCTCTACATCACTACTTAGCAACAAAAAGTTGGGTCTTACAGTGGCAATAATGTCCCAAGTTAGAAAAGGTTAGAGAAAAAAGTTCTGTTTGTCAAACAGAATCTCACTGGCACAGCAGTTAAAAGAACAAACTCAGACTATTTATGCATAGTCTCCTAGGAAGGGCAGGACTTTGTGCCTTAATGGCAGAGTTCTTTTTATGGTGTATGTGACTCCAGTTATACAGGGGTATAAAATTTTAGGGGCCAAGCTACTTGCTGTCCCATTTAGAGAAAATACTTGGTGTTGGGAGTCTGTAAGTTGAGCCCAGCTCATAAACAGGTATTGTTTCGCTGTAGTTTTTTTTTTTTTTTAATGTTTAAATTACTAGTAAATTTTATAGGTCAGTTTGGCTAAGCTATGAGCCTCAGCATTTTGTGCAAACACTAAACTAAATGTCTGTGAATATATTTTGTAGATGTGATTAACATCTATAATCAGTTGACCTTAAATAAAGGATGTTATCCTCAGTAGTGTGGGTGGTATTCATTAAATAAGTGTAATATCTTTTTTTTTTAAATCAGTACCAGGGATCGAACTCATGACCGCCTGCTTGCAAGGCAGGTGCTTATGCTGCTGAGCTAAATCCCCAGCCCTAGGTGTAATATCTTGAGAGCAAAATCTGAAGCTGTCTAGAAAAGAATTCTGCCTACACAGTAATATAAAAATCTTGCTTGAATTTCCACCTGCTGGCCTCCCCTAAGAAGTTCAGATTTGTTGTGTTTGTCCTAATGGTTCTGTTTTTCCAGATGACCCTGACTACTGATACAGCTACCATAACTTAAAACTATTAGTGGTTGCCCTCAAAAGTCTTTTTTCCTTTATTCTCTCTCCTGAAAGCCCTGACATAAAGATTACATTTCCCAACTTGCTCTGCAGTTAGTTGAAGGCTAAAATCTAGCCAATATTAAGCGGAGGTACTCTGTGATACTTCCCTTAAAACAGCAGATGTCTCCGTCTTATAGCCAGCCCTCCATCCTGATGCCAGGGGTTTAGATCTCTTACAACTGTACTGGGTCATGAAGAGAAGTGTCACAGGCTGAGAGTAACAGCACAAAACTGGAAGGAACCTGGACCCCTGGTCTCTCTGGGGATGCTGGATCAGTTCTAAACCACCTTTAATGAAGAAAACATTTTAAATTTATGCTAATATTGCTTGGGATTTCATGTTATATTAGTGGCTATAATCCTGGTTTGATATAATTGTCAACTTTTAAGTATTAAGGAATTTTACATAAAATTTCAGATTTCTGGCCATTCCCTTGAAAATTCTGGCTATCTCTAGGTCGATGGGTCATGTTCCCCATCATAGCAATTGACTTACTAGAACAAAATAATGACTGCTCAATTCAGACTAGGCTGGAGTTTTCTCGGGTTTATCTTCTTTCTTTAAGTTTCTAGAGGATCAAAATAAAATCATGTTCTAAAAACAGAAGACAGCAAGTATAAAGGTCCTGAGGCAGAAATAAGCTTCATCAGGCATGGCACATGAAGCAGAGAAGGTCAAGAGAGGAGGTCAGGGAGGTAGGAATTAAATAGAACTTGCATTTAGAGAGACTTAGGACTTTATTCTAAATGCAGTTAGAAATTGTTAGAGAATTTTAAGATGGTGAATAAAATTATTTAATTTTGAAAGTTTATCTGGCTGTTCCAATGTCATCTCATGTGATAAAAAAAAAAGAAGTAAAAAGTTTATCTGGCTGTTGTTCTGACTATACATTGGCAAAAGCACAAATGGGGACCTGTGTTAGCTATTTCACAGTGCAGGTCAGAGATGACACCTGGTTTGACAAAATTTGCTGTTTTCCCTTAACTTATCTTGTGAAGCTTCTTGCTTTAATTCTGAATGATTTTCGGCTCATTGTGAAGTTTTTGGTTTCCACTTTCACCTCTTTCTACTATTTCTGCCTGCTTGTTGTCTTCTCTAACCTGCCTCTACTCCACAGATTGTTTAGAGCCCAAAATGAAACTTTAATTCACTCTGTGATGATTCTGGGGATGCAGCAGATGGCCTCCTGGAGAACTCCAGAAATAGGCAGCCTTTTCCCTGTTTTGAAAAGTCGAGGATAAGATCAAAGAGTAAGATAAGCATCCAGGATGGAAGGAATGGTTTTAGGTCTGGTAGCCAGGCAGGTCTGGCTAATACTAACCTCCAGATTGAAGAGTTATGGTTACACAACTATGGGCAGCCATGGGCTTGGGACAGGCCCGCAGGGAAGGCAGCAGATAAAATCTTCCCCTACAGGCTGCACCACTCAAGAGGAAGAATGCAGCAAAGGTAATTCTGACATGTCTAGTTATCCTGTCCAAATATAATCTGTATCATCAGAGGTAAAAAGGTTGAAGCATTGAGAGGGGCCTGGAAACAGTTCTTGTAGAAACCTGGAGTAGTGAAAGGGCATTCTCTAATCGGTAAGGAAAATGTTCATGAATTAATTGACTGGTTCTGTGTGTTTGAATTTCATCAATTAGATTTTCACTAAGTAGGGCACCATTAAATTCAACAGAAAGAAACCAAACACAGTTCTGCCACTTACCAGCTGTATGATTTGGGGAAAATGTCTTGACTAAGTCTCAAATTTGTCATTTGTAAAAATGGGAATAATACAACTCACTTTGTGAGATAATTCATGCACATGCACCATAATATACTATTCTGCCTGGGTCAGAAGAAACACTTATAAAAGGTTAATACTACTGCAATAACAATTACCAAAACTATGTTAGATAATTTGCTAGGTGCTGGCATGTAAAGACAAAAGGCATAATCTAGAAGTCTTAAGGCCAAGTAAGGAGATATCCTATAGTTTGGATCTTAAGCGTACCCCCAAAGCTCATGTGTTAAAGCCTTGGTCCCCGGCTTAGCACGGTTGGAAGGTGATAGAAACTTTTTTTTTTTTATTGGTACCAGGGATCGAACTCACGACTGCATGCTTGCAAGGCAGGTGCTTATGCTGCTGAGCTAAATCCCCAGCCCCTGATAGGAACCTTTAATACCTGGAGTTTAACAGGTAGTCTTCTGGTCTTTGGGGACATGCAGTCAAATGGGATGCTGGAATCCCCAAGCTTCCTTATTCTTTTTTACTTTCCAGCCATGAGGTGGGCAACTTTGTTATATCATATGCTGCTTATGTTTATATACTGCTTCCTGCCACAGTCTCAAAAGCAATAGGACCAATCGACCATGGACTGCAACTTCCAAAACTGTGAGCCTCAACTTGGACAATAAACTTTTTGAAGTTGATTAACTCGCATTTATTATAATAACAGAAAGCTGACTAATGCAAGATGGGAATAAAATATATTAAAATAGGTTTAAGGTATAGCTTGGTGGTTGAGCATATGGATTATATGCATAAAGTCCTGGGTTTGCTCTCCAATACTAAGATAAATAAATGTATAAATACATAAATAAATAGATACACATGTGTGCAGTAGAGTTTATCGCCACAAGAGACCTACTAGTGATTTCATTTTTCTCTATGTTGGTTAGCATTAAAAAGCAAATAGCCTTGGAATTACTGAGCTCTCAACCCTCTTTTGCATAGATTAGTAACTTCAGTTGTTCTTCAGGAAAGACAAAGAAAAAACTGTATCTAATTAGCTTTTTTTTTCTTCTAGGGAAATTAGTCACTAGGGAAGAACAGAGGATAATAGCGCTAAGTTCTTCAGGTGATAAAAGTTAGATCCAATCCTGATCTAGCACTACTGAGAATAAACTCAAGAGGTAGCCAGCTGTGTGTGGAAATAGAAAGAACTAATCATTTTGAAATCTCAGGCTCCCTTTCCGAGCCTGCAGAGTCTGCAATCAGGGTGAAGCTGAAGCAGGCAGGAAAAATACCATTCTGGCCCAGACTTTGACAGTGAGCTGACCAACTATCAGTTATCTATGGGGGAAAAACCTTCCCTTTTGTTTTCTTTAGATCATCTGCTAAATAGTTTTGCTACCTTGTTCCCAAGCTAATTATCACTCAGTAGTCAGTGCCTCAGCATGACTCCTCACTGCTAAGAATTTGGCCAGTGCCCTTCCTATAAGACAGTTCTAGAATATAGGCAGCTAACCCCAGAAAATAGACACCTCCTGGAATTCAAGGACACATGGCTAGTTTTGCCACAGCCGCCCTTGTGGCTTTAAACGGAGCCACTCCTTTTGCTATAAAACCTTCAGATTATGTAAGAGAAATAAATGTAACTCCCAACCTGTTAGCTGTCTGTGGGCTGAGTTTATGTTCTTCAAAATCAAGTAAATTCTAAAGGAACAAAGGAGGTTAAGAGTAGGAAATTTCATTGAGATATTGTGGTGGATTAACTAATGGTTGACTTGTAACACCCAGATGAACTGAATCAGCCTGGTTCTAGTGTGGAAGGCCCACCTACGGATTGTTGCCAGCAGCATAAAAGAACTGGAGGGGAAGGGGGGGTGGTGGCTATTGCTGTTTCCTGGAGAAACTTTCCTGATGTGAACTCAGCTATTCTCATCATCAGAAGAGCTCAGGTCCTTAATGCCACTGAGGACGGCTAAGGTTCTCTTCAAGGAAGCTCTGGTCCTTACCTAGCATCACTTCCTGGCTCCAGTGCAGATCCCTCAGCCTGCTGGCACAGATCTTTTATACCACTGACACAGCCTTTCTAGCTTCCACCACTGAGCTTTGGGCCTTTCCAGTGCAGAGATGTGAAAGAGGCTTGCAGGAGACATTGTCATGGGCTCTAAGATCTACAGTTGGACTTGTGGAGGACACAGCCATGAGCTCTAGGCTTTTAGCTGGACTTCTGTGGGACTTTGCTGGGGGGTCCAGGCCTTCAGCTGGATTCTTTGGGTCTCTAGTATATGGACATATCTCCTGCATTCTTCTGTATTTGACTTTTTGACTGAATATTATAAAACAATCGTATAAATTATGTACTACATTGAATCTATTCTCTTGCAAACTCTGATTACAATAGACAGACATGTCCCAAGACAGACAGGACATGATGCAAGTGTGTTGCTATGGACCTCACTCACAAAGAAAAAATTTACAGAGCAAAATCATGAGGTGGGTAAAATGTGGGCTTAGAGCTATGATCAACCAATAAGATTGTAAGTATACCACTTAGGTAATATTGGTCCAATGGAGAAAAAGGTCATGTAACAAGGGTACATAGAAAGAAAAACGAATCAGAAAAGGATGGGTCCACTGAGGTAACTAATATCTATCTAGACTTCATAGGATCGGGTATTAACCACTTATCTAATCCTTGGAAAGGCATGTAGGCCTGGTTATTCTGTCCTTATCTTGAGGGCAGCCTTCCAACTAGTGTGTCTCTGGCCACAGTTGTAATGTGTTTTCACCTACTGTATTGACTCTCTCTCCGCCTAGCCCTATCTGCCTATGTACAGTATTTTTTTTTAACGTAACTTAACTCTCTATAATACTGTCAGGTCCCTCTTAAACATGGCACACCTTAAATGCATAAAGGGAATGTGGCTAAAAGAATCTGTCTTCCGCCTGCTGTATTATTAGGGCATTGTGTGGGCTCAAATATTGGCATTTGAAGAATAAACTAGGAGGCACAATGGCTGCACCCATACTGTGTAGGAGGCACTCTGGTTACTCACACGATACCAGAAACATGCATAAGCTGTAGCATGAAGGAGTGATGCATTCTGCAAGGGGAGGTGTTGGGGACAGGCTTCCTCAACAGGTTTTGGAAGTTGCAGTAGGTAGGACTAGACACAGAGAGAATGAAGGGAATTACAGACGGGAAGAACGATCCCAATAGCTTTACCAACCATGACACAGCATGGTATTTCAGTGACCTCAAAGTAGGTTTGCCCAGTCTACCTCAGCCTGTGTTAGTGGATTCATTTCTTGTTCTCCTTAGCTTTTTATGGTATATAGACAATCTATACAAATGTGTGCGAGGTTCTTAGAATAGTGCCTGGTAAGAATTATTCTCACGAAAGAAGTGAAAGATCTATACAGGGAAAATTATAATCACTGAAAAAAAGAGACTGAAGAGGATCTCTGAAAATGGAAAGATATCCTTTGCTCATGGATGGGAAGAATAAATATTGTGAAAATGGCCATTCTCCCAAAACTCTTATACAGATTCAATGCAATCTCAACAAAAATACCGTCAACATACCTCATAGATCTAGGCAAATCACTCCTAAAATTCACGTGGAAACAGAAGAGACCTAGAATAGCAAAGACAAATCTAAGCAGCAAAGTCAAGGCAGGAGGCATCACAATCCCTGACTTGAAGTTATACTACAAAGCTACTATAATAAAATCAACATGGTACTGGAATAAAAACAGAGCCAAAGATCAATGGAATAGATTAGAAGATACAACCACAACTACCAATACACTCAAACACCTTATCTTTGATAAAGGGGCCAAACATGTTCACTGGAAGAACAACAGTCTCTTTAATAAATGGTGTTGGAAAAACTGGCTCTCCATATGCTGAAAACAAAAATTAGACCCATGCCTATCACCATGTACTAAATTAAAATCTAAATGGATCAAAGATCTGAATATTAAAACAGAAACACTAACTCTATTGGAAGACAAATTGGATAAAAACCTTGAAGACATAGGGGTAGGTAGAGAATTCATGAACAGGAATCAAACCGCATGGGAAATACTTCCCAGAATCAGTAACTAGGATCACCTCTTATTAAAAAGTTTCTGCACATCAAAAGAAATCTCCAGCACAGTGAAAAGAAAACCCATAAACTGGGAAAAAAGCTCAGTGAACTGTCCCTCAGACAAAGGACTTCTGTCTAAAAAAACATTGAAGAATTTTAAAAAATCAGACCCCCAAAATTCAAAGATCCAATCCAAAAATGGGCATCTGAGATGAATACACAATGCTCAGATGAATAAATATAAATGGCAAATAAATGCATGAAAAAATACTCATCATCATTACTCATTAAAACCACACCGATTCCATCTCACTTCTGAAAGAATGGCCAGGATCAAGAAAACTACCAATAACAAATGCTGGAGAGGGCTGTGGGGAAAAAGGAATTCTCCTGCACTGTTGGTGAGAGTGTAGACTGGTGCAATCATTCTGGAGGTCAGTGTGGAAATTTCTCTAAAAGCTGGATTGGAAGTTCCATTTGGTCCAGCTATTCCACTTCTAGGCATATTCCCAGAAGAACTGAAAACATCATACCACAGTGATATATGTGCACCCATGTTTATAGCAGTACAATTTGTAATAGCCAGATCTTGGAAACAATCTAAGTGTCCATCAACTGAGGAATGGATTTAAAAATTTGTGGTATTTTCATACAATGGAGTACTACTCAGCTATAAAGAATGATCACATTGATATATTTATAAATAAATGGACACAACTTGAGACCATACTCATAAGCTGAAATAAATCAAACTCACATGTATAAATACCGTATAGTCTCCCTAGTGTAAGAAATGGTAAGAGTACGTAAGAGTTTATAGTAATCCTGACTACCCATTACATTGCTCTGAAGCCTTATAATGTCTGCATTCATTAGTTTGAATGGTTTTATTCTGGGTTGTTTGATTTTTATTGTCTGTGATAGTATGAACAGCTATTTTGAAGCAAACAAGACATTATAATAGCTAGTGCTGATTTAAAATCATCTTGTTTTTAAGTCCCACCAAGCTTTTGTTCTTCTGTCTCCATTGGTTTTATCATGTTGTACCTTATTGGATTTAATTATATGTGAGTATAAACAAAAATTTTTATGGACAAGGAGATAGGATAGTAACCATTGTTCGTTTTCTGTTAGTTGGTTCTGAATACCCTGTAATATTTTTTCTTGAATGGTTTTACACTGTCTTATTATGTTTGATACTACAGTGTATGAAGTTATACTCAAATATGTCAGGGAAAGAGACACTATGGTAGCTACTGTTATGTCGGGTTGTCTTGTGGTGAAACACTATGTTGCTTTAAATTGTTCTGTTCTGACCTGTTTTGTTATGTGCTCTTTTAGCTTAATGTTTAAAAAAAAAAAAAAAGAATAGTGCCTGGTATTCGGTTAGCATTCTTTTTTTTTTAATTAGGGGCTGGGTCTCAGTCATATTTCTTGGAACTAAGTGGCTAAATTTCCTTTGAGATAAGGTCTAACTATGCAGTTTAGATTGGCCTTGAACCAGCCTCAAATTCACAGCAATCCTCCTGACTCAGCCTCCCCAGGAAGAAGTGTGCCACTATGCCCTTCCAGTTTTTTTTGAAAAGGTGTAAACATATTCTCTAGCCGAAGCAACCATCTTTTGAGTTTTAGCCTTTTCCCCCTCACCCTCCCCATCCCACAATGAATTTTAAAAATCAAACATTTAAACAAAAGTCAAGCCAGGGTACAACATAAATGCAATACATCCTAAACAGAAAGGCATTCCAGGACTAGGGGACATTAAGACGTTTAGGGAACTTACAGGGAAACAAGGTTTGAAGATTTCCCGTTATTTTCGAATCTGATTCCAGGGCATTTTTCTTTAATAGCATTTAGATCCCCTAAGGGCATTCTTGGCAGAGGTCGTCGCGCCGCCGGGCTGAGAATCCGTCTGGAGTGCAGAACCGTGCAGCTTGTGCAGTCCCTACCCGCACATGACACGTAACTAAGGCGCGGGAACTTGCCTGCCATTTAGAAAAGGCTGCGAAAAGAGAAAGACCGGCCTGGGGATTAGGGCCTCAGGCCCAGGAGGAAGCAGTGTGAAGAGCCTCCTCGCAGGGCGGGGACTGCGCGAAGGGACTGAGGACCGGGTCTGGGGGCGCGGGGGGGATGCTGGGAGAGCAGGCCGCGAGCCCACGGAGCACCTACCAGGCCGCCCAGCCCAGTGCGAGCAGCACGCGAGCCACACCTCAACCTGCCCGAGGACGTCACGACGCCGAGGAGGACGCCGGGCCAATGGGAGGCCATGAGGGTTAGGGGGCGGGGCCAGTGAGTTGGGGCGGGGCCGCGGAGTTGGGGCCGGGCGGGCTACGCTTTTGGGCAGTCTTGTGGCCGGCCGCTGCTGGAGAAGACTGAGCAGCCGGCGCCTGCGGCCAGGGCCATCTTCCCGCCTCCTGCCTGCTCACGCGCCTCCTGCATGGTGCGGGCTGCTAGCTGAGCGGCGGCGCCGGTGAGGCGTGACGGACGCGCCGCTCGGAGTCCAGGCTTTCCGTCGCCGGCACTTCCTTCTGCGGCGCCCGTGCGTGGCCGGCTCGCCGGGCGGGATGGCGGCCGCGGCCCCGGGAAGCGGCTTTTCTGCGGCGCCCCGGCTGGTTGTACTCCTGCTAGTCCCGCTGCTCTGGGCCTCGGCAGGTGTCCGGGCTGGCTCCGACGGAGACCTTAGCCACCGGAACAACGACCCCCCGGCGCCCGCCCAGCAACTGCAGGCGCAGCCCTTGGCGGTGCAGGGGCCCGAGCCGGCCCTGGCGGAGGTGAGCTGGCCGGGCGCGCGGGGGATGGGGCGCGCGGCTGCGGAGCCGGCCGCTCCGGGTACCGGGATCTGGGCGCCGGCTGGGGGAGGGGAGCCGCCCTGCGCGCCGAGGACCGAGGCCGGCTGCGCTCTGTTGCCGGCGAGGCCTGGCCTTGCGGGGTTCCTGGGGGGGTGGGGGAGAGGGCCCAGCAGGGAGCCCGCTGTGAATCTTGGATCTCGTGGACCAGGATGCTGCTCGGGGTTAGGAATCTTAGTGATCTACAGTGTCAAACTGGAAATACTGGGAATACTCATCCCAAGTAGAAAGTTTCTAATACTGGACAGTTAAGAAACTTCTTTTTTCTTTTCTGTTCTCTGAGGATAATCATACCGACCATTTCATTGGTGAAACAGCTTAACCAAAAACAGCTTACTCAGGTTCAGCTTGGCAAAGCCTCTTGGTTTTTTTTTTTTTTTTTTTTTTTTTTGCCAAATACAATATATATGTATTGTGATCCGCGACTCTCCCTATTTTAAAACGTGCTTTGGCTTGCTGGAAGCCGCCCTTAGGAACGCAGAGGAAGAAGCAGTTTTCGACAGTACAAAGTGCTGCATCCTTCTGGAACGCCATAATTGAATTTATAAGTAAACCAGAATCCTATATTTTGTTTAACTTTTAATCTGTGTTCGTAGAGTTGATTCTTTCTTAGTCTCTTGACATTCTCACCATTTTCAATTTGACTCCCGATTTCTGGACTTTAGTCACCTACTAGGGAACCAGTTTGGTATTAACCCCCCACCTCCACTCCAGTCTACATCTGTCTTGTCTTCATGTAAGTAATCTTACTGAACGTATAATTCTGTCTTCTTAGAAACCTTCAAATTGACCCTGCCTACTAATTTCAGTTCAGCCTTGTTTGCAGGATGAATATTTAGATTTCTTAATGTTGTGGCATCAGTTAACCCCCAGGACTTTTCGCAACTATTTCCGTGCCCATATTCCATACTTTTTTTTTTTTTTTTTTTGTCTTTTTCTTTTTTATCGGTACCAGGGATCGAACTCACGACCACACAACTTGCAAGGCAGGCGCTTATGCCGCTGAGCTAAATCCCCAGGCCCCTTCCATACTTTTTTAAAAGCATGCATCTGTCGGGTGTGGTCAGTGATCCTAGTGAGCACTGGGTGCTCCAGGCCTGAGGATTCCAAGTTCTATCCCAACCTGGGCAGCTGAGCTAGTGAGATGCTGATTTGAGTTGGGGTTATACCTCAGTGCTAATGCTCCTTGTTCCCTCCCCACCCTGAGAAAAAGATGCTCAATAACTTTGATCCGCCACGTGCTCTCTTGTCAGTCTCTCCCAGACAAAAGACTTCCTTGCAAGAAGGCTTGAAGCCTGTGGTCAGGACTATTGCCACTTGCAAAGACCTGCAGATACCTACTCTTTGCAGGAGCATTCTCTAAAATTTTCCGCTTTAAAGTGATTTCTCTTTTCTCTGAATAATGTGGCTTTTCATTTATTCACATTGTTGCCTATTTCCTTGTTTGGCCTTTCCATTTTTGTTAAGTCTTTTTTCTTTTCCTATAAGTATCAGAGAATGAACATTTCACACAGCAAGAACTTTCTGAGAATTAGAGTTGTCCAGAATGTAGTAATTGATGTTGAGAAATACCGAGATTCTCTCCTTACTGGAATTACTCAGGAACAAGTTGAGTAATTGGCCACCTGTGAGAAGATTTAAAATTATGAAGTGAAGATTCTGTGATCTGATTTTTCTCACAACAGAGGTTGAAACAGGTAGAGCGGGTGTGCAGTTTCCTGCTCTTGGATGAGGAAACCCTTTAGGAGAGTGATGGTTTAATGTCGCAGAGCTGTAAGCGAATTAGTTCCAGATAGAACTAAAATTAGAACCCACTCTACTGAGGCTTACAGATGCTCTTGGAACTTAGTGTTTTATTCTCTTTTAACCTAATTTATTAATGGACTTTAATGGTCAATTGGGGAGTATAATGATATGATACGGGGCTTTGATCTCCATTCCTGGCTTCCCCTTTAATCCTTTTTGGGAGTTTTTTAAAAAAAATTTTGTCTGTGTTTATACTTATTCTGCAGCATTGGGTTCTCTATAATGTGTGCCTGTGTTTTATCTGCTATCATAGTTTTATTGTCCTGAGAATATGGTTATATCTTATTCATATTTGTCTTTTCTGTACACCTTGCCTATCCTTGGCCTTTATTAAGTTTTTGTCCCAGAGTAAAATTGAATTATTTGCATCTCATTTCTATCAGTTATTAAATACCTGTATGGAAAACTGCCTTTTAAATGAATCAATTGAAGAAAGCTTATTTTTGATACCTGTCTAGTCCACTTGTCCAATTACTTGCTTGGTTGCTCACTTTCTTTTCTCTCTCTCTCTCTCTCTTTCTCTGTCTCTGTGTTTTTCTTTCTTTCTTTTGCTAAAGGACCCACTGGACAAAATTAAGAACAACTAGGCTTCCTGAACTATGATTTCACTAACCTATGAATGGATAGGTGTTGATTTGGAAAATTTAGTTTCAACTGATTAAGTATTAATTCTGAAACTTCTGTAAAATTAAACCAAAAAATCAGAAGCATTTGAACTCAGATAATGAATGTCCTGTGATACCAGAAATGTGTAGTGCAAACCAGATCAAAGGAATACAAGAAATGTGAGTCATTACTAGATAGAAGCCAGTGTTATTCTAGTTCACAGGGGAGGAGTGGTGGAAAGGGGCTTCCTGTGCTTGTCCCTCTGTCCACCCTACCTTTCCCAGTCCTTCAGATACCCTGGCTTGTCAGTGCCTGGCTCCGCCGACTGTTCCACACGTCCACTTCAGGAACTGAACTAACATGATGATTCGTTAACTTTATTCTTAGTGTTCATCATCTGACCCACTATCATTTAACTCAGTATCAGCAGTGTGTGTTAAAACAATAACTGTTTCAGGCCTAAGTAATTTTGCATGTGAGAGTGAGATTGATGGATGTGTAGTTTTCCAAGCATTTCACTGAAGTATATTGGGATTTTTTTTTTTTTTTTTTTTTCTCTTACAATACTGGGGATTGAATCCTGGGCAAGCCAAGTTATATTCTTAGCTCTGTATTTTGAGACATACTTGCTAAATTGCATAGATTGGCCTCACACTTGCAATCCCCTGCCTTGGTCTCCTGGGTAGCTGGCATTAAAGGTCTGTGCCATAGTGCCCAGCTTTTATGTTGCAGTTTTAAAATTTACTTATTTATTTATTAAAATTTTTTCTTGGTTTTTTTTTTTTTTTTTTTTTTTTTTTTGGAGACAGGGTCCACTATACAGTTCATGGCTTTGAACTCATTTTATTGCCCAGACTGGCCTCGAACTCAGTGATCCTCCTGCCTCAGCCACCTGAATGCTGGGATTACAAGCGTGCACCACCATGCCCAACTGCAATTTTTAGACATAAATAGTGGAATGTATAACTGTTAATAATAGCTATAGCTATTAGTAACCCTTTTTAGGAAGCTAGGAAATATCTTGCCATGCAAAGTAAGGTCATGGTGACAGTCTGTACAGTGACTACATTTAATTGGTCTTAAGGATCTTTATCATTAAAACTAGGGGTACAGAGAGATGGAGTATATAGAACATAAGAGGCTTTTTTAATTTAATGTTTTCATACCTTCTTGGTGGTACAGAATATAATTGTATTAATTGTATTTTCATATAACATTTAATACAACTCACATGTTTTCTACTTTACCCACAGTACTACAATATGCTTTTAAGATCTTTTAAAAGGATGGGCTATTTAAATTTAACTTTGATGCCACTGTGTGGCATCAGGTAGAAGATATATTAGGAACAAGTATCTTGTTTGCAAATGGCTGAACTTTTAAAATAGGGCTTTCTCCACTGGGAATGTTCTTTTTGTATAGTCTGATTTATAAAAAGTTTAAGAATTAACTGAACTTTTAAAAACTACGAATAAACCTCAGTTTACAAATCTATTTTTAAAAAGTGCTGTTGGATCCTTCTATGCATTTTATATTTTGGGATATTTTAGTATTTTTCTTAGTTCTTCCTCAGGTAGAGTATGAAGGAAGCATAGTTCTTTTTAGTTGATAGAGCAGTGAGATTTAATGAAATTTACAATGTACTACATGTTATAGTTGTTCAGGCAACTCTTGTGGTTGCCTAGCACTGTTGATAAAGCCATATAATCCTATTCCCTAATGTAGTACCGGTTCTTGCTTTCATATTTCTATGCCACTGTTTCTTGTCATTTCTTTTTTTCTTTTTTTTAAAATCAGTACGGGGGGATTGAACTCACAACCACCTGCTTGCAAGGCAGGTGCTTATGCTGCTGAGCTAAATCCCCAGCCCCTCTTGTCATTTCTTTTATGTATTATCATTTAACAATGACAGTGGCTTCCACAGAATTTTTAAGCAGTAAGTTTGAAGCCATCTTCAAACTCACCTGTGATCCTGTCTCAAATAAAACACTACAGAATGTTAACATTCACAAAATAAAACATAAGCTTTCATTAAAAGTGTATTGTATAAAAAATGTAATTGTTAAATACAAATTAACAAAAAACATTAGTAAAACTAAACTAAAGTAAACTAAAGTATGATTTTACAAACAATAAACTATCCACAAATAAAAATGCTTAATAGGGAAAATTTTGCACTAAGTGTTTAATTTTAATGCAGTCTTTTGAGTCAGATTTATGGCATCTTTGTTTAAGTTACACACATTTACAGCCTCTGAAAACTTTTCCTGGCCTTACATTAGTAATACTGAGATAGTTCTGAGGTCCTAAGCATTTTTCTCTGGTTCTTTTGTCTTCAAACCTACTTAACCTTTTGTTCGATGATCTTTTTTTGAGCAACTTTTTTTTCTTTATTTTATTTTTTAATAGACACGTAAGTGTACATATTTGGGGCTCTGTGTCATTTCCATGTCATGTACATTGTGCAGTCAAGGTATTTAGCATGCCCATGTCAAACATTTACCATTTCTTTG